GCCCTGGCCGAAGAGCAGCTGCGTGCACGGCGGCAGGAGCAGGAGAAGCGTAGCCCACTGGGCAGTGTTAGGTGAGGCTTGGCCTTAGGGAAGCATTCAGGGCCCCAGGCAGGTGCTAGGTCAGGTTTTAAGAGAAGCTGTCAGTTTAAAGGGGAAATTGGTGCAGAAGTAGCTTTGTGCTGGGTGGTCACCTGTAGAGGTAGTAGTTGGACAACTTGAAGGGACAACTTGGGATGTCCACTGCAGTTCTTGGTCATTAGCCTCTAGATTCAGGGCCCAAAGTGAACTGGATTCTTTGGGGGTGGATCCTACAGCCTTATTGTCAGGTCAGGGGAGTAAAAAAAAAAAAAAAAAAGCAAGCAGACAGGTTGAGCAGTGGTGCACGCCTTTAATTCCCACACTCAGGAGGTAGAGTCAGGTGGATCTCTGTGAGCTTGAGGCTGGCCTTGTCTGCAGAGCTAGTTCCAGGACAAGCTCCAAAGCTACAGAGAAACTCTTGTCTCGAAAAACCAGAAAAAAATATAAACAAAACCAAAAAAAAAAACCCAAAATAGCAGGCAAAAGAGAGCCTTGTGCTGCTGTAATGCCTGGAGTTGGGGTGATCGTGGCAACGAGGGCACTGGCCTGTCCTCACTTCACCCAGCACCAGCCAGTTTCCTCTTAATTATGGGGTTCCCATGGACTTGCTCTGCTTTCTGGAGAATTCCGGGACTAAGGACAGAGTTCGGTAAATAGGTTTATTCCTGAAAGCGAACGAAATCAGCCAAAGGGAGAGGATGGAGGGGTGAGTGGGTCCTAATGGGAAGACTCATTTGTCCTTGGGGCTGCTCTCCTGGCACTGGATTTGTGACAGTATGTCCTCACAGGTCACACGCCAGTGAAGTTTGGTGTTTATTTTAACTGAGGCCTAGGACATGGACACAGGTGGTTGAGTCATCGCATTGATGGTTGAACTCAGCCTCTGGTCCTCTCCCCACTCCACCCTCCGGGGCTTAGGCTGGTCAGAGCTTCAACTCTCAGCCCCTGACTGATCTTTTTGGCCAGGCATCTCCATCTTACTCCAGGTGAACACAAACTATCAGAAGTGTTCTGAGGACCCTTTGTGAGTAGCAGAGATGCCCTGGCCACTTGGCTAATTCCTCCAGGAACTGGGGACAAGGACAAATGCAGGACTGGTGACCTTCTTATCTGGGGATCACAAAAGTAGTTTTCTAAAGATCCAATGTAAATGTTCCTTAATAGATGTCAGAGCGGAGCGATTTCCTTTTCTGTGCTCACTGGAGATGGGGAAGCAAGGGAGTAGAGTGTGTTATGGATGAGCTCCTGCAGCCTCAAAGCTGCTGTGCATTGGGTCAGAAACAGCAAGGCCTGAGTGGTCCTTCTGGGTCTCTGCCCAGAGAGAAGCATTGTTTCCTACCTCCTCTTTCTGTGTGTCCAGGTCCACGAAGATCTACACTCCAGGTCGGAAGGAGCAGGGGGAGCCCATGACACCTCGCCGCACACCAGCCCGCTTTGGACTGTGAGCTGAGGCTGTCGCAGGAGAGGCTGGTGGCCAGGTACTGAGCTCTAAGCTCTCCAGCCACAGTGCCCTACGGACACAGACACAGACACGGCTTTCATCTGTGTGTTCATCTAGTCTGGGGCGGCTCCTGCTGAGTCAGGTTTTGCCGCGGGGGAAGAGACGGTCCTGATGCAGGGCTGGGCAGGAACAGACTGCAGAGCCAATTAGCAGCTGCTTGAGCAGCAGGAGGTGGCTGGGCCATCACATCCACATAGCCTGTCCCCAGGACACTTGGCTTAAAGCGACTTGCTGGGACTGAATCTTTTTTAATCCTTGTGTAAAGTAGCAAGATAGAGGCAGAGGCACTTGTAATTTGGTTATCACCAGGGATTTAGAAATAAATATATTATTTGTAAAATGTGATTGCATTTTTTAAATTTCCTTTCTCTTTCCCTGTTCTTATCCCTACAGTAGGGACAGGAGAGGCAGATCCCTTGTCCTTCCTGCCCTTGGATAGATCTTTCTAGAAACTTAGCTCTGCTCTCTGTACATTTTGCTGATGGGGAAGCTTTCCTGGGGGCATGTGTACACATGTTCATGTGCTTATATGCATACATGTGTGGTGTGCATGCACATGGACATGTGTGAGGAGGCCAGAGATGTTCGCTATCTTATTTTTTCATGGATGCTGAGGATCTCAACCCATGTCTTTATTCTCATGTGGTGAGCACTTCATTACCGAGCCACCTTCTTAGGCCTCTAGGCAGAGATTCATAGAGGAGGCGTTGACTGAATGGGACCCAGCTTAGGTGTAGGGACTTGAGGGTGGCTCAGGGCATCCAGCACAGGACAGGCCATGCTCTGAATACCAGCTGTTTCTGAGGCTGGTAGGCAATGGTGAGGCCTTGCTGGCCTACTAAAGGGAGGGAGGGGAACAGGGGCCAGGTTTAGCCTTTCCAGGGTGGTGGTGGTGGGGGAGACTTCTTTAAAGAGGCGCATGCTGTTTAGAGGCTTCCTCCTGCTTGTTTGGGAAATCTAGTCTTGGCCTGGGTGGGAGTCCAGAAGAAGGCGGCTCAGTAGGGGATCCATTTACAGGCTCAAGTTCAGGATATACACGGGTGTAGGGAGAGTGGAGTCTAACTGTTAAGTTTTATGGCTGATAAGCGGAAACTGTGGGCACAAAACCCCTTATGTGCTCCTTTAGATGAGAGAAACAGAATATTATGAAAACTATGGGTCTGATGCAGCTTAATTTAAAAGTAAAGAATGCCCGGCCAAGGGTCCAGGTGCTGCAAGCAGCGTAGATAGCAGCCTGTTCCCGGAGGTCTGCCTGGCTATATTCTCAGTGCAGGGTTTCCCACATATAAAATATGGTCTATGAATAGATGTAATTAGTAGTCAGTTCTCTCTGTTTCCCTTACTGAGGCAGGGTCTCTCTTGTCCTGCCTGCTGTGTGTTCCAGGCTGGCCCCTGAGCTTCCTGGTGAGCCTTTCTCTGCCTTTGATCATGCTGTAGGCATGCTGGGATTCCATGTGGCTGCCACCACATCCAGGAATGAAATTCAGGAATATAGGTTTGCTCACCAAGCACTGTAACCTGCTCTGTTAGTTGCTGTTCGGTTGCTGTGACTAAAATGTCATTTACCAAGGCAATGTCAAGAAGAGTTTGAGGGATCGGAGACCGTCTTAGGCGGAAGTATAGCAGCACGTGGTAGGCATGGTGGCGGGAGCAGGAAGTTGAGGTCATGTCTTTAAATGTAAGCAGGAAGTAGAACAATCAGGAAGTGGGATGAGGTTATTAATTCTCAGAGCCAACCCCAAGTGACACACTTTCTCCAGCAAGGCGGCACTTCCTAGACTTCCCCAAACAGCCAGCAACTAGGGACAGATTGTTCAAATATCTGGGCCTACGGGGGACATTTTTATTTAAACTGCTACACCTGCTGAGCCTTCTTGCCAGCTCCCCGCTCTAATCTGGGTATCTTATTTCTTTTTCCCATCTAAGCACTCTGGCTCCAGTGACTAGAACTGTGTTAGATACAAGAGGCACAAGTGGGCATCCTTGTTCTCAATCTCAGAGAAAACCCTTAGCTTTGACCGCCAAGCTGTGGGTTTACAAAATCTATTTCCGCAACCATTTCTTTTCCGTAGCAGATCCTAAGTGGTTTTGTAGAGACTGACTTCTTGGGTTATTTCTTAAGGGGCACTTAGCGTGCCTGTCTCTCCGGCATTCTAAGTCGCTTCTCTCTGCCTAGACAGATCTTCCGCCTGCCTGAGCTTTCACAGCAAGGTGACTGGGTGCAATAGTAAAAATGTTTCCATCTCCTTGCTTCCCACAATGCACCCCTGCTTTGATCTGATATAATTACCCCCACAGAGAGTGAGAGATGGCTTTGAATAACTATGTGACATTCACAGTATCCAGAGGTTGCAATTTTGACTGATGTATGAACTCTTCTTTTTTTTTTTTTTTTTTTTTTGGTTTTTCACAGAGATCTGACTGCCTCTGCCTACTCAGTGCTGGGATTAAAGGCGTACGCCACCACTGCCCAGCTGATACCAAGCTATTCTAAGCCCCAAGTTGGGGACAGAGTCAGAAGACCTTTAGCAGATGGACATCAAACACAAGAGACGTTTCCAGAGCTTTTCAGTACCCATTTCTCTCTGCACACAGGAGCTTAACCCTCCTGCATCCCGGCGAGGCTGAAACGTCATGATGAGTAGTGCGTTTTCTTAGCCTTGGTTTGGCCGAGAGGGAGGCAAGAGTATCTGAGCGCCACTGCCCGCCAGCGTGCCTCTTCCCTCTTCCCACCTCCTCAGAAGGGCAAGCTCTTCCCTGTCTTCCTCTTATTTTACCCTGGTACCTATTTGTCTCTATTTCCTATAGACTGAAATATAAATTCCAGACATGTGCTCCGCTTAACAAAATCCTACCACAATAAAGTGGTTTAGCTGTCCTTGGAGTTTGTTATAATGGAATTTTCCTTGTATTGCCCTGGCTGGGGAGAAAAGTAAACTTGTTAAAAGGAGGAATGTAATATGGCAGCCAGGAGGAAGCAGATGGTGTGCCCGCCCTTCCCCACTTGGAAAAACACATCACTTATTTCTCGCACTTTCTTTTGGGTCCTAGCATTGTTTTCTTTTTGGGGGGAAATAAAAGGTTTCTAGATTTTTTAAAAAATTCCAGACAGACATTAAAGCGGGGGAGGGGGGGCTAATTCCTTCTTGTTGGTTTAAAAACCTAGTCCAAGTAACCCAAAGGCTGGCTTTGCAACCCTTTCTCCTACAGAAGTGAAGGGACCAGAACGTTTAGACATCTGGCGAACACAGGCACTAGCAGGTTGCTGGGGATGGACTGTGCAGAGACACCAGGAGCTCATGGAAGCTGTGTGGTCTGGGTCTTTATTTCAGAGTCTGGGCCTGGAGGTGGGAGTGGGGTATCCGAACTCACTCCACTGCAGGAAGTAGACAAACTCAGTAAAGCAATAACAATGTCTTGTAAACCATACAGGGGCCTCGATGGATGACTGTAGGAGCTGATACCGGTCAAGAAGGAGGGGCAGGAACTCGCTGTCTTCTGCAAATATGTAGGGATGGGGCTGAGGGCGAGGAGCCGAGTCTAGCAGTATGAGGAGCCTGGGGGAACAGGGAAGAAACGAAAGCTTTAGTTTGAGGAGAAGTGAACAAGTGACTTCTTGAGGACCAGCATCATGGCTGGACCAGTGTCATGGCCAGATAGCTCTGTTGTAGGGTGACAACCCCCTTCTGGGGTTTTGTGGAATAAAGAGGTGGTAGGAACAGTAGGCATAGGTCTGGACCGAGTGGAGGGCTGGGATACTCAGTCTGTGGGGTGTCTAGAAGGAAGAAGTCTATTTCTCCCTCCTTCTTTTCCTTTCACCCCGCAATGGGACTGAGTCAGGAGGAGACAGATCTGTGATGTGAGGTACTGGGGTATCACCAAAATTCTCAGATCTGAGGGATGGTAATTATCTCCTTCATCTACAGTTTTGGAAGGAATGGTCACTGTGAACTATAATCTATTTTTCTTTCCTGCATGAATTCTAATCCAGTGTATCTTTGGAGAATGATGTCACAATATTGCTGTTTTGGTTTAGGGGTCAAAGGAGACATCGCAGCAGCAGAAAGCAAGGAGCACACGTACCCGAGCAGTGGGGCGCCCCGATGTACTTGGTGATGTCCGTTTTCGGCGTCACGTCCTGGGCTATTCCTCTCCAGCCCAGTGGGTTGCAAATTTTCCCCTTTTGGGAGGGTTCCTGTTTGCAGGGGCCGAGGGCTTTGGCACAGATCCTCGCGTTTCCGGTCTTTAACTTCTTCTCTTCTATCTCATTCTTCAGCTTTTTGTTTTCCTGCTGCAGGTGGACCATTACATTGTGGAGCTGGCTGTGGGAAGGAGAGGAACGTGAGGAGGGCAAGTGGCTGTTTGTCTGTTCGCAGTGCTTGGCTCCTCGCTGGAAAGAACCCGGAGGGTGCCACAGGAGAGGGCTAAGGAGGGTTCTCACGTTTACCTTGTGCAAATGGAGGCCCATCTGAGTCCCATGGAAGCAGCTCAGGCCTGGGGGTGAGGAAGACCTAGGAAGAGGGCCCACTCTGTCCGTTCTGGGCCTTTGTCTACGTTTTTTGATGGGGACAATTAAACCTGCCTTGTCTGGGGTTCATGGAAGGATTCAGTTTGATAAACGATGGAAATCTGATACACAAACCAGAAGGCTGATCTGGGAAGTTCTGACTGCGTATGCTCATAGCTTTGTCTGGGAAATGCACGCAGCCGAAGCTAGCGCCCTACTTCTCTCTGCTCCCCTTTCTGAAGAGTAGCGAGTACAGGGTTCCTACCTCTGTAGAGAACATGGCCAAATTTCTTCTTCCCATTTTACAGATGAGTTGGTGGAGGCAGGGGTGTAGGGCAGAGGAAAGATAATTTAGTGTCTTCCATGGTTCAATAGGTGGCAACTATTATCAACCTATGGATTTCTCCTAACAAGTCTTGAGAGCAGCGGATGATGGAAAACTATGGGGACAGGGGAAGACACTCAGCCTCCTGGACCATTTCTCTCCTCCTACAAATGCCTCTGTCACCACAGGGAGACCCTGGCTTGATGCTTCAACTTAGATTATTTTTGGCCTCATAACATATACATTCAATAGGAAACTGTACTTTGAATTTGGACTTTTTTTTCTCAGACAGGCAAGATGTGGCCTAGGCTTCTTGGGAGATGCTGGGAAGTGTTCATGACTTCAGCTTCGAGTTAGCCACCGCCACTGCTCTACAGGCAGTAAATTATGAACAGTAAATGCACGCTTGGCCGGATAATATTTCCAACTTACAATGGATTTGTCCAGACACGGCCTCACCTTAAGTCAAGGAGAGCCTGCATTCTCAGCTCATGAGGTCTCAGGAAGATTAAAGAAGTCAGTGTGTGCAGAACACTTAGAACTCTGCTTTCCACATGCTGAATAACACATATTAGTTGGGCTAATGTTGTTATATTTATTATTAAAGGATGGTTTTCCTCAGATAAGACCAAGGAAGTTCAAGAATGAGCATCTGGTGAGACGGCTCTTTCTGGCACTTGATAAACTATAAGGAAAAGCTTGGAGTTACCTGTTACTTTATAATTTTTTTGGCCATCCTAGGGATTGAGCCTAGGGCCTTGCTCAAACCATGTGAGTATTCCACCACTGGACCATATCCCTAACCTTTTTCTTCCAGTTTACATTCTTTGAGACAGGGTCTCATCAAATTGCCCAGGCTGGCCTTGAACTAGATCTATAGCCCAGGCAGGCCTTGAACTTATGGTGGTCTGTGCTACTGGGTATGGGCTTTCAAGGTTATGACAACTATTTTTTTTTTTTAGTTAATTATTTTCATAGAACATTTTATTTTTCCATTAGAAAGAATCATGGTCCATTTTTGGAAGCAATCATGTGACGGGTTGGATCCTCAGCCTCTTCTGGTCACATCCTTCACCCACTTTCTCTGGAGATCCGGCCTCTTCCCCTGGGGTCCCCCAGTCCACGTGCCTCTGGGCTGGAGGCCAGGTCTGCTATGGCCTCCATTCCCTGGCTCTCTGTCCCTCGCTATGTCAGCGTATCTTCTGTCTTGTACATCCTGCACAGCCCAGCCTGCTCCGGGTCTGGGTTTCTTGTTCTCCACGTGACAGTTCTGTTCTCTCCTTCAACTCCTGATCCAGCATAAGGTCAAAGCCCAGGGCAGAGCTGGCTCCTGGGAGCCACACCTGGATGCCAGGCGTGCAGAGACACTGACATCCTCAGTCTTCTCAGCAAAGTTTGAGGTGACGGCTGCTTGGCCAACGTTATCACAAGCAAGCCCTCTCCAGACCCTCCTAGAATGCCAAACTTGGCAGCTTCTGTGTCCCTGGAAAAAGCTTGGGGAAACACCGTCCTAGGCCCTGGCTAAAAGATTGTACCTTTGGACAGCCCTTTCTTCACCTCTGTTCTCTGACTTCCTGTAGTCCCAGGCCTCACTCTCAGTGGGCAGACCTTTGCCCAGGTGGTGAAGCGGGATCACGAGGGAGAGTGGAGCTCTTGAGAACAGGAGCCCCAGGTTCCTGGGGACCAGGTGAAGCAGAGGAACCCTTAACCTGGACTTCCCACCCCAAACTTCCACAGAGAGCCATGGTTTCTGTGCTCCTTCATTCACGGACCTCAGCTATAGCCGCTTAGTCCCTACCCACAGCCTGCCGGCCTGCCAGCCTGTGCCCACTCCTGTCTCAATGCTCTCGGCCTCTGAAAACCACAGGTGCGTGGGGGAAGGAGGTGGGAGGTTTCATCACCTCACTGGGTGGCTGTTGAGGGAGAGAATGATGGTCCAGCGCAGTCACGTGACATACCAGTGCTGCATAGGAACGGTTTCAGGTCTCAGGGTCCTTCCAGATGGTTCTGTTGTTCTAGGGGCTAGTCCCCATACAGAATGTAAGTCGGCCAGGGGTGGTCCCAAGAGGCAACAATGCTGGGAGGACAACTTACTCCTTTTCTCCAGTCAGCTTGGCGATGTATTTCACCTGTTCTCGCAGCTTGTTTCCCAGCTTCTCATTGGCAATCCTGTAACAAAACACACAGGGGAAGAATGGCTCTTCCCTAGATGGGTGAGAAGTTGACCGATGGGCACCGGTCCTTCTCAGCAAGGGTTTCTGCTTGTTTCTTGGCCCCCATCATTTTGTCCCTGAGCCTTGTGAGTCCTTGTCAGCTGAAGACTCCCATTCAGACGATTTCAAAGGAATGGGTTCAAGGTATCCACGCGAGGATGGATCCCAGCTTGGGTAGAGGAAGCGTATAGCTCAGTGAAGCACACCTTGCCTCTGATGTGGCTCTGTCCCTGTGTGGCAGGCTTTGCAAACCTGCCTGGAGGGGTGTGACCCCTCTGATTCCCAACCCTTGTGTGTGGTGAGTTCTTGGGCAGGCACGCGTGGTTTAGTCACTGTGGTTCTCAGTTCAGCCCGGCCTGGGGACCCCCCTACTGTTGTGGGTGACACTCACTTCTGCTCCTTTGCCCACTGCTCCATGTTGCACATAATCTGGTCATTGTCCCAGTGGAGCCTGCAGGTGTCTTTGATTGTCCTCGGGGGCAGGCAGCATGGCTTTGCATACAAGAAGAAAATGAGACTGGAAGGGATGGGGACACCCACGGCTACCTCCCTCCCCGAAATCTGGATTTTTCTTTCTGAAAGAAAAAATAAAATCAACTCTGCTGCCCAATTTGAGGCCAGAGTTGCCACGTACAGGACCTTCCTTCCACACAGCGGTGACACGCCTGAGGGGCGCCATTCATCACAGACATGGTAGATCCGTACGCTCACCATGGCGGTTCTCAAACTAATGGTAGTGAAGTGACTTGTTTTAAAACAGTATTCTGAGCTGATGTCACCACAAAGGGAGGAATTGGGGGAAAAATGAGATGCTTCTTTTTAATTTGAACAAGGGCTCTGTGGCTACCCTAAGTCTCAAGCCTTCATGCCATGAATGGCACTTCTTGGGATGCTGGAAGTGGGGGCATATCTTAAAGACTGCTTAACACATTGGATGACAAAACCTAGCAGGATGTGCCCAGGAGAGGGAGGGCTCTAGGGCTTGTGAGTGGCAGCTGAGGGACCTGACTAAGTCTTGCTGAGAGTCTTGTTCAATATCTATCAACAAAACCACAGGAAAGCGGGGCGGTGGTGGCGCATGCCTTTAATCCCAGCACTCGGGAGGCAGAGGCAGGCGGATCTCTGTGAGTTCGAGACCAGCCTGGTCTACAAGAGCTAGTTCCAGGACAGGCTTCAAAACCACAGAGAAACCCTGTCTCGAAAAACCAAAAAAAAAAAAAAAAAAAAAAAAAAACCCACAGGAAAATAGGTGAGTTGAGAGGTAGCTGGAAGTATCCGGCTTCTGCTTCCTGCAGAATATGTGTGTGTGTGTGTGTCTTGTTCCTGGCATCCCCAACGACTCCCCAGTCTGGAGGGGTGGAGAGCAAGTGACAGGGTCCAAACAGTGCCCACCTCCTTCTCATCTGCAAGGAGGTTCTCTTTCAGGGTGGCCATTTCTTCCTGGAATTCCCGGAGCTGCGTCTCCTTAGCGGCCAGCATCTTGAGGTCACTCTGATGCTGCTTCTGCCACTGCAACACCTGGTTGCTCATCTCTTCCAGTTTCTTATCAAAGGTGTGCACCTGCCCGGGAGTGCAAAGTGAGGGAGTGGGCAGGGGCGGGCTCAGGCAAGGTGGAGGGTACCCTCTCCACTGGAAGTGTGGTTTGGAGGGTCTGTACCTTTTATTTCCAGTGACCAGCAGAGGGCGCCCCTGCTCCGACCTTCTGGCCTGCCTGTCATTCCAGAAGCCGAGGTGGAGTGAACCTCTCAGCCAAAGGGTATGGTTGGGCGCTAAATAATTCTGCGTGCTAAAGGTGACCTTGTGGACCTCTAAGAGGAAGACAGCCTGAGCCCCCAGCCTCTCACCTCTAGCTCACTCTGCTGGTGGAAGCCCTGTAGCTTTTTTAACTCCACGTTGAGCTTTTTCATCCTTTCCTCATAAGCCATGATTTCATCTTCCAGCTGCGCCTTCCTCTCTTGGGTCTGTTGCAAGTTGCGCTGCAGGCTCTTTGTCTCAGCGGTCGCATGAGTGAGCTTCCAGCAAAGACAGAGTGCATTAGAGCGGCCACCAGGGCCCTTGACCTTCGCTGCCAAGTCTTTAGTGCAGAAGGTTCCAGGCCCTCCCCGTCCTCTGCCCACGATGGTGCTGGTGTTCCAAAGGGGTGGGGGGAGACAAAGGTTGGCTTTCTGCACTACTCTCCTGGGTTTTTATTCCCCTCTTCCAGTTCCTTTCTTTCTACATGTATCTACTGATCTACAGAGGATGCATGGATTTCCCCAACAACCCAGGCTTTGGGACAAACCCTGTCCCCGAATCACTCATGAGTGGGATGACTTGTTAGACAATGCCATCTCTGCCACCTCACAACCAATACAAGGACAGCAGCATACAATGCAAAGAGGAAGGAAGTCTTCATTGTGCAGACACCCCTATCTAGGCAAGGGTTGAGAAGCCCTGAGGGTTGCCAGTCTTGTAAGGAATCGGCTTCTGCCCACTCAGAGTCCCTAAATTTCTTGGACTACTTCCTGGGTGAAGAGTGGGTGTGGCCTCACCTTCTCCAGGGCTTGTGTCAGGTCATCTTGGCAGACGCCCGACTTCCGCAAAACCTCTTCGTAGGTTTCTTTGCTGACCATGTTCTGGAGGTAGTTCTTTTCTTTCTGGATAGCTGAGTCCAGCTGTGTCTGCAGAATCATGATGGAGTCTTTCTGGCGGGCTATCTTTAGGGAACAAGAGCATCACTGTCAAGGCTGTTCCCGGCCACAGATGTGTGACTGTATGCAGGAAGTAGACAAGAGCTGGGCTCTCTGCCATAAGCGCCTGGGCATCTGTGTTTGTACTCATATCTTCATCTCACTGTGAGGAAATGCAGAGCTCTTCCTGAGCGTCCCTGTATCTTTCTAGCCACGTTTCGCTTTCTGGGTACCATGTCTCCAATAGCAGCACTGGAACATGCTAACTTCACGGAATATGTTTCACAGATACAAAGATGTCAGTCTGGGCCAGGGAGGTAGCCCAGTCCACACAGAGCTTGTGAGGACTTGAGTTAGGTTCCTAGAACCTACTTAAGAAAGATGAGTCTCGGAGCTGGAGAAATAGCTCAGTGGTTAAGAGTACTGGCTGCTCTTTCGGGAGACCTGGGTTCAATTCCCATTACTCACATGGTCATCTATAACCATCTGTAACTCCAGTCCTGGGAGATCTGATATCTTCTCCTGGCCTCCACAGGCATTGCATACATGTGGTACATAGACATACATGTAGGTAAACCATACATACATATACATAGGCTTAAAAAAAAAGATGCTGGGCATGGCAGTGTGCTCTTACAATTAACCCCAGTGCCAGAGAGGTAGAGACAGGTGCATCTCCGGGACGCAAAGCAGACTAGCCTATTTGGTGATCTTTAAACCACTGGGGGACCCTGTCTCAGAAAGAGAACTAGAGACAGACAACCCCTGAGGAGTAGAGCTGAAAGCTGTCCTTTGGTCTCCACATGGACGCATCCCCACGACCATGGACACATGTGTGCACCTGTACACACACTAGAACCAACACCAGGCTGATGGATACGATACAGCATTGTAGAGAGCTGTGTGGAGCTGCACCTGATGGTGCTGGCTCCCGCCCTCCGCGATCCCAAAAGCGAGTGCTCTCTGTGATAATCAGCTCCGAATATTGGCTAAGGCCTGACTTATGCTATTATCACGCAATGATTGTCAGCTGCTTGCATATGCATGAACCTATGGGCAGTGCCCACCTGGCAATCCGGGGTTGGCGGGGTTGGCGGCCTGTGCCTTTTTAAGGGCGGGGAGAGGTTTGCCCTGAGAGAGAGAGAGAAAAAAAAAAAGAGAGACAAGGTCCTGAATAAACTGCTAGCAGGAAGAGCTCCGGTGTGTCGCGTCATCCTTGCGTGTCGGGTCGAGGCGGGCAGGTCTCTGACCCAGCCCTGTGTGCGCTCTACAGAGGAAGTCACCTCTTTCTCCTGTTGCTGTCCCGTCGGGCACAACACACAGCAGCCACACAACAGTCATAGAAGAAATGTTAAGTCAGTGGTGGAATGTAAAGTTACATGGTCTGTTTAGAGATTCAAATTGTGTGGTTCAAGGGGCTCTGCTGCACTCAACTCAGGCAGCAGTGTGTTTAAAACAACTCTGCGTCTTAGCCTCGGCAGTGAGCGTACTGGGTGGTTAAAGGCAGTGGAGATGCGGTCACAAATCCTGCTTGCGGTCCAGGTTCTGCCACTTATTTCTCGCGCCTCAGGCCTTTCTCCACAGACCGGGAACCTCTGAGGTTCTTTCACACAGCGTTGGCGATGGCCAGATGAGGCGATGCCTGTGGAGAGGCTTTGCGCTGGGTGCCTGCATACGGTTGGGAACCATGAGGAGTAAAGTGAGGCTTCTCCTTGTAGATCTGAAGCCTGGGACAGAGATCTGTTTCTAAGTCTGGAAGCGGAAGGATAACCTTCAGAATGTGTGGCCTCTAAGCCATCCTCGATTCCTTGCTTCTTCCCACAGTCAGTACTTCAGCCAGTCTTCCCCAGAGACAACCTAATAACCTGCACATCCTCCCAGGTGGTCTCCTCACATCTACGATTACCCCTCCCCCGGCCCATGTTCACACACTAGTCAGAGTCTCATGTGTCTTGTCTCTGAGGAAATTCTGTCAGTAGCCTTTCATTGTTCTTTAAATCCAACTCAGTTTTAACAGAGGCCGTGAAGTCTTCCTCTACTTACCTCTCCAGCCCTTATCCTATACCAATGGTTTTTATCAATAGATTCCAGTGGCACTGGTTTGATTTCACTCCCGAGATTACTTTAAGGATGTATTTAACAGAGAGGTACATGATACACAACCAGGACTCAAACTAGAAACACAGAGATGAGCCAAAATTATGATTACGTTTTACCATTGTATGATGGAGAAAGATGGCATTATTATTTTAACAGAAAAAAAAAAACCCTTAGGCTCCTGTTGGAATTCAACACCTTGTACTGAACTGACAAACCTCTTAGTACCTGAAAAACTGAAGGAACTAGAGATAGAGGTAGAAGAAGCCCAGAGGGCACATTGTGCTGAAGCAGACACATTACATTAACAGTAAAGAACAAGACGTGTACTACCGCAGCTGTCCATCCTCATACTGGAGATACTGTCCAATGTGACAAAGCAAGAAAAATAAAACGAGGATAGATATTACAAAGAAACATTTAGGAACCTTGTTATTTACAAATGACTTATATACTAAAAATAACCCATAAACTCCAGGAGTTTGAGGATAGTTTGCACTCTATAGTGAGACCCTGACTCAAAGTTCACAAGCCCAGCATGTAAAAGGCCTGGGGCTTGATCCCTAACACTGTATACACACACGCATACACAAACACACACTTCGTGAAAATAAACTGAGAAACTATTACAACTTATAAGTAAAATTACTAAGATGTTCAAACAGAAAATTAATATATTCGAATGGATGAGGTTCTGCATTAATATTAAAAATAATAAAATACAGTGGGAATGTGATATAATCAAATAAATGGGAAAGTTTTCTATCTATTTCTTTATCTTCAAATAGCAAAAAATTGAAAATAAAATATGGAATATTGGCTAAAGGAAGCACATGTTCAGAAAGCAAACCTCAGCCTTTTTCTAATAGCTATTTCAATTGATTCAGTGTGTATGGGAAATGCTTTTTAAAAAGTTGAACATTAAAAAGTTGAATATGTTTACACTCTAAAAAAAACAACAAAAAAACCAAATCTTTCTTACTATCTGGGCAAAGGAATTCCAGTATTGGTGCTCTTGCTTCTAAATCAACACGGCTAATTTCTGCCACCAGGCTCATACAGAACACTTAACAGCGTTCCGTTGGGTTCTCAGGGAGCGGAATGACTGAGACCTCACGGTTCCCCACTCCAGGGGACAAAACTCCGAGAAGACCAGTACTCGAGACCTGTGCCGTCTGAACTTAAAATTAGTCAATATTAATTAAAAGTACAAAGTCAGTTAGTTCCTCAGCTCTCAGTGGCAAGATGTCCCCAGTGGTCAGCTCAGAGCTGTCATTTGTCTGCGACCACAGCGGGGCCCAGAGTGCTGTTGGGAAAGCTCATCTTAAGCTTTGAATAGTCATAGGATTTCAGATCTTTTTGTATTATGAAAGATTAAGGGGTGCCTGGGTTTTCATTTGTAGCTCAAGAGACTTGTCTTCTAAGCACTATATATTTTCTTGTCCAGAAAGGCATAATATATTCCACTGGGGCAAGCATCACGGTTTGTGCTGGAAAAAAAGGACAGGCTTTAGAGTTGGATGATCCAGGTTCAAACACTGGTTCGTCCGGCCGCTTACTAATTAGTGGCCCTGGGATTCGGCCTTTCTTCCCTTTGTAAATGGGGATCACAGTGACGTATACTTTGTTAAGAGGAAAGCAGAAGGAAGGTGTGTAAAGAGAATGGCTGAATTCCAGAGCGGTTCCTAGAATGTCCCAGCCCGGTGACTTTCATCTGCATAATGATGGACCGAAATGACCCTCTCCTAGCACCTTCTGTGACTTGCAATTAGTTTTGAGAATATTCCCTCTCAAGGGGTTCCAAACAATTAATTCACTCAGTTCTTTGTCTAATTTCTAATGCGGAAAGACTTGGCGGAACATTCCAGGAGTTTGGGGTGGGGGCTCCCCCAGTACGAAATGAAACCTGTTACTTAAGGAAGAAAAAGTTTTCCCCCTAGGGTCTGCAGCCATCTCCCACCCATTATAGGACAGAGACGAGCTGCAGGGCCTCAGGCGTGCACAGGCAGCCAAGCCTGAGATGCGAAGTCAGGGCCCTTCTTTGGGGTTGCTGTCTACTCACCTCTACGTTGAGCTCCTGGATGACTTTCTGGGAGTTGTTGTATTTGTTGATGGTGGACTCCAGGTGTGAGGAACAGGAACTGAGCTCCGTCTGCAGATTCTCCTTCTCTTCCTCCAGCTTCCTCACCCGCTCTTTGGCCTGCTCTCCCATTAAACAGTGAAGCCCACCCCCACCGCCAGAGCAGGGGGTTAACTTGAGCCTCTTGTCCTTCCTCCTCCTCCTCCTCCTCCTCCTCCTCCTCCTCCTCCTCCTCTTCCTCCTCCTCAGGCCTCTTCACCCTCCCCACTGTCTGTCTCCCTTCTCTCCCTCCTCTCCTGAGCCCCCAGGCTGCCTTTCACCTTCTCGGCTCCGGATTCACAGCACGAGCTCTCCAGGTCCCACCCTCTTACCATCTTTTCTTTCTTTTTTGCTTCCTGTCTCAGAGCCTCAATTTCTCCCTCCAGGGCCTTTTCCTGTTCCTTGCTCCTTTTCAGTTGTTCCCGTTTCTCCTCCAGCAACCCTTTTATCTCCTGAAGTTCCTCTTCCAGCTTGTTCTTGGTGTTTGTTAGCTCTCTTTGCTGAGGGGGGGAGGAAAAAGGCCAGGCTGCAAGACAATCCTACCCTACTATACAGTGGGAAAAGAAATCCAGACAGTTCTACCCAGGAAGGGTGGAAACAAACATGAGGGTTATTTCTTAGCACCCCCACCCCCCAGCACACTCGGGGGGGAATGTTTGCTCTAATACTCTGTTTAATTCTTTAACTAAACCAATGTATGGACCCAGTTCCTATAATGTCGACTTTCTTGCCCTCTAGGCCAACTCTTCACATAAAAACCTCTTGGAATAAAGTAAATCCGTGAGAGATCAAAGACTGTCAACGGATGGACAAGGATGGCCCCTCGGTCTTCAGAAGAGCAGTAGAGGCTGGGGACACAGGCCAGTGGGCAAGCATTGACTGCAAACAAACACATGAATGAACCAACAGCGGTTTGAAGGAGAATGTCCCTCATAGGCTCCTGCATTTGAACACCTCGTCCCCAGTAGTTGGCACTGTTTGGGGTGGGGTGGAGGTTAGGAGGTGTGGCCTTGCTGAGGGGAGTATGTCACTAGTGACCGAGCTTTAAGAATTTAAGGCCTTGTCCTAATCCTGCTTTGGGCTTATGGTTCAAGATATAACTTCACAGCATCCTGTTCTAGCCGGCATGCCTGCCAATGCCCGCCCCTGCCCCTCTGATGGACTCGAACCCTCTGCAAGGTAAGCCCAAATAAACTCTTTCTTCTCTAGGTTTCCTTGGTTGTGGTGTTTTATTGTAGCAATAGAGAAGCAAGTAATACAACAACTTATATTGTCCTCTGGGTGTTTTTAAGCCTAATCCTTGAACATGCTTATGACCGGTCATGGGAACTGGTCCTGAGTGGCTGGTGTAACAGTCTATCACAAGTTCTGGGAAGTTAATAGAGACTGGTCTCCTTGGCCTCAGGCAGGCCAGATAGCGGTAGTAGCTGTCTGCGCACTCTCTTACCTTTTGTTCAGCGATTTTGGCGGCTTCCATCAAGTCGCTTATTCTTTGTTCACTCTCGTTTAGCGTCTTCTTGAGCAGCATCTTCTCATTGTCGGAATTTGTCAGCCGCCGCTGGCTCTCGTAGAGTTCCGAGGTCAGCTCCTCTATCCGTTTCCTGAGCAGGGTGAGCACAGGACCAGCTTCAGGGCCTGTGTTGATGAATTGCGGAGACAGTCCCTCCCTGGGGACTATCTCACTCTGGGCCGCTGCCAACCTGGGGTCCAGGGATGGGGCTGGGGGTACCTGTTGCCTACTCTCTCCTTTTCAGCTGCTTCAGCCTCCTCTTGCAGCTTCTGCAGCTGACCCTGCAGATCCTTGATGATGTCCGCCTTCTTCTTGTCCAGGAGAAGGCAGTTCTCGATTTTCCGATGAGCGTCCTCTAGGTTGCTACCAGCCTGCTGTGCTTCCTCCTTACACTGGGCGAGGTTCTGATCTGAAGAAGCCAAGGAGGGTTCCATGTGATAGGCAGCCCATGGGACTCTCAGTCAGGACTCACTAGAGACTAAGCCTTTTATTCTGTGACAGTCTTCCGTTCCTAGCCTGCCCTTGCCTCTCCCAATGCCAGCATAAGTCTGAAGGAGCTCTGTCTTTAACTGCCCTTCAGCCTTGGATTCCTTCCTGGCTAAAATTAAATAAATTGGTAGCAATCATTCAGCACCTCTGACTAATTCTGTCATTAGGGACAAATCCCAGTCCTCAAGGAGTTTAGTCTGGTGAACTCTATGATTACCCATCCATTATAGAGAACACTGAAATGTTATTGATTGATTTATGTTTTGGTGCCGGGGACCAAGCACAGGCAAAGCACATGCTCTACCACCAAGCTCCATCCTGGCCTGAGAAATGCTGCAGTGCCGAGCTTATGCTGCCCACAAACTCAGCCATGAGAGCTGTGGGTGGACTTGTGAAGACAGGGAGAAGCTGACACAGCCTTAGAAGGAGGAGGAATGTGTTTCGGGGAGGGCTCATTGGAACAGATGTGCAGGGGCAACGTGGAAAGAGCATGTGGGTGAAGGATGGGAGGAGGTGAGCTGAGTTGGGATGGAAAGTGGGGGATGGTAGGCTGCAGCTGAGCAAGAAGGTGGATCAGAGAGGGCGCAGAAGGTTGACAGCATGGGAGGAAATGTTTAGACTTGAAGCAGTAAGCGGAGACCCATGTAAGGGAAAGAGAACATTGGGAAAACCACGATGCAATTTGGATATGGTGGTGTATTTTGGAGGCAGAAACAGGAAGTGCTCCACGGGATCCACCTGGTGTACGTAGTGAGTTCCAGACCAGCCAGAGCTACACTGTCTCAAACAAAAACATCCAATCAGAGACGACCTCCAGTGGTAGCCTTTCATCCCCCTGCCTCCACTGAGGGAAGACACCGACACCCTGCTGTCATTAGGGGGGATCATTTTGGTGGAGTGTGTCTCCTCACCCCACAGGCATTCTTTCAACTCTGTTCTCTCATCCCTTCCTTGAAGTGTCCTATTCTGGTATACCGAAAGAAAGATAGCATCACGGAAGAAGTGACCATACATCAGACATTTTGTAAAAAGAGACAGGAAGATTAAACACACACACACACACACACACACACACACACACACACACGCACTTCCATTTTGGGAAAAGCTGAGAGGATGATACGGAGGTGATGGAGGAAGGTCATTGGCTAATAAAGGAACTGTCTTGGCCCATTTTATTGGTTAGAAGATAGGTGGGAGGAGTAAACAGAACAGAACGCTGGGAGGAAGAGGAAGTGAGCTCAGACTCCACAGCTCTGCTCGCTGGAGCAGAGACACCATGCCCCGCTCCCGGGCAGACACACGCCATGAAGCTCTGACCCAGGATGGACTAGGCTAGAATCTTCCTGGTAAGACCGGTTCTCACAGATTATTAGAGATGGGTTGATCAGGATATCAGAATTAGCCAGTAAGGGCTAGAGCTAAAGGGCCAAGCAGTGTTTAAATGAATACAGTTTGTGTGTTGTTATTTTGGGCATAAGCCGAGCAGGCGGCTGGGGTGCTGGGAACGCAGCCCCGCCGCCCCCTATTACTACACGGAGGAATGAAGGAAGGCTGTTCTTCCAAGGCAGGAAGCTACCGAGGGGACTCTAAGGTAGCTACCGGAGGAGGAAGCTCACTGAGGAACCAGAACATGGGAGGGAGGAGAGGGGTGGGGACAGTGCTTGAGGGGTGGATGGCTGGTCAGAGCCCAGAGGAAAGGAAACAATTGTGAGGTCTGTGTTGGACTGAGGGCCCAAGTCTACAAAGCTGAGGACTGAGGGTGGGTGGCTAACGTCAGGACAGAGCCGGGAGAGAGGAGCCAAGCTGCCGATCTTCTTATATTGACCTCTTTAGAGTGGTGAACACAGTGGGTTTTAGTGAGCTCACGAAGCTGTGTAACTACCAGCCAAATTAAGGATATTATCATCATCCCTGAAGGAACCCTGCTGAAGAGACTGAACCCTGAGAAGAGATTGGTGAGCTGAGAAAGCCATCTCCTCAGAGAGGTGAGGACAAGTTCCCATCCCAGCATGGGCTACAGAACAGGCTGTGTTTGGAAGCAGAAAGGAGGGGGTGGGATTGAAAGACAGGGAAGGAAAAACCAAACGTGGGGTGAAGGGCCTGGAGAAGACAGAGTCAAAATATGGCTCCAGGAAGCCTCTCATGGGCCCCGTCCTCTCTGCTGTCTGCGTGGACTGGGGCATTCGTCTAAGGCCGCTGAGGGACTGATGGGAGCAGGAGGCTGTTAGCAGGGGCTTCGGAGAGGCTGTGAGTTTGGGGGCTCTGGAGAGTTGAGGGAACTGCTGGGATGGAGATGAAGTCAGGGAGTGTGGAGTAAGATGGCGGATGTGGCTCCTTGTGGAGACAGGGTTGGAAGTGTGGCTGGGCAGGGTAAGCCCGAGTCTCACCGGCCAGCTTTGCTTGCTCTTTGGTCTCCTCCAGAGTGTCCTTCAGTTTCTGGACCTCGGACCGCAGGGCCTCACAATCCACTTTGGATGTGCCCTGCCTGGCCTCTTGCAGATTTGCCTTGAGGTCTTTCATTGCGCGCTGCAGCTTCTCCAGCTCTGCCTCTTTCTCCATGAAGGTGTTCTGCACATGTGCCAGTTTCTTCTCCAGCTCATGCAGCCTCTCGTCCTTGTCTTGGAGCAACTGTGGATGTCAGAGGAAGGGATGCTGGGAGAGGCCTAAGCACTACAGCTGAGCCGCTGGCCTGCCCGGCTGGGATAGCCCAATTCTACCTGTGCCCTTTGCACCCATGATGGGTACCCTCAAGCTAGTGCCACTGCAGCAGCCAGAGAGGACCTTTCAGAGTGCAAGCCAGAGCTGTCTGTGTCCAAAACCCTCTGCTGGCTTTGACCTTACTTAGCAAAAGGCTCAAGTCTTTACAGCCCCATCTCAGGAGGCTCACGATCTGGTCCTACATCGACTACCTGTCTGGCCTGGTGTCCAGGAGCCCGGACCTGTCTCTCTTCAGCTCGCCTCCTACATCTGGAGGGTCTTGCTGTGCCCTCAGCCTGGACTGCTCTTCCTTAAGATCTCTGCCTTCAGCTTTCTCTGAGTGTTAGCCGTTAGACCGTGGGACCAGCCTGGTGGTTCTCGCACTGCCTTCAAATCTCTGCCCAGGGTCACCTGATCAGGGAGGCCGTTCACACAACCCAGTCACCAAGCTGTTTCAGGAATTTGTCCTTTTCCATCTCCACTCTATCAGGGTCACAGGTTATTTATGTCACCACCCCCTCCCCTGTGAGGATGGGGCTGCTGTGTGTTTTGTGGAATGTGTCTTAATGCGTAGAATGATGATTGGCATATCATTGGTACTCAAGAGTGCGGAATGCACACATCAAGGACAAAGCCGGGCGCCGATAGAATCCTTGCTTTTTGTTGCTCCCCTTTCTTTTCTTCTTTCCTTTCTTTTTGATCTTCGAGATAGGGTTTCTTTGTGTAACAGTCCTGGCTGTCCTGGAACTTGCTTTGCAGACCAGGTTGGCCTCGAACTCATTGAGATCTGCCTGCCTCTGCCTCCCAAGTGCTGGGATTAAAGACATGAGCCACCACTGCCCAGGAATGCTCCACTTTTCTAGATGTTTCTATTATGCCTGGTGGGCTTCGGCCTTATTTTAAAACAAGAGATTTTAATGCCTGTAAACCAACTGTTTTATCTTTAGTAGCACTGAGGAGAGTCCAGGGTTTGGATGGTGCTGCCCATAAAGGCTTACACTGGTTTGACCATCTTCCTGTTCTCGGCTCTGGTTCTAGGCTTTTCCAGGAACATGTCTCTAATAGCCACTGTAGACATCATGGGCTACAGCATGGCAGCCACAGTAGGCAGAGATGCTCTTGTCCAGACCCCCTTGACTGTTCCAACCGAGACCCAGGGAGTGCTAGCTCACCTTGTCCTTCTTCAGGGCCAGCTTCTGTGTCTCTGTATACTGCTGCTGCAGCTCCTGCATCCGGTGCTGCAGGATGGCAGTCTCCTTGTCCTTCCTCTCCATGTGGGCTGATGCCTCCTCCCGCAGCCCGTGTAGCTCCAGCTCCAGCTTCATCATGTCTGACGTGGGGAAGAAAACACCGCTTAGCCACCAGAGGCGGGGTGCCCTCCTGCTCCACAGCTGTGGCTCGTGGTCCCCCTTTACCCTTCATGATGTTCTTCTTCTGCTCTGACACGGCTTCCAGCTCCATGCGCAGGTCCTTGACGAGGTTCTGGTACTCCTCCACGTGCAGACACTGGCTGTCTTTCTGCTCCTGCAGGTGCTTCAGGATCTGAGGGTTGGAAGGCAGAAGAGTAGGGTGAGAGCACAAAGGAATCTCCCTCCCTCCCTCCCTCCCTCCCTCCCTCCCTCCCTCCCTCCCTAACTTCCTTCCTTCCTTCCCTCCCTCCCTCCCTAACTTCCTTCCTTCCTTCCCTCCCTCCCATCTTTCCTTCCTTCTTCCTCTCTTCCCTCCCTCCCTTTCTCCATTCCTCCTTCACTCCTATCTCCCTTCCTCCCTCCCTTCCATTTTTCCTTCCTTCTTCCCTTTTTCCCTCCCTCCCCCTCCCTCCCTCCCTCCTTTCCTCCCTCCCTCTCTTCTTCCCTTCTTCCCTCCTCTCTCCCTTTCTCTCTCCCTCCCTTTCTTCTTCCCTTCCTCTCTCCCTCCCTCCCTTCCTCTCTTCCTTCCTTCTTTCCTCCCTCTCTCCCTCTGTCCCTCCCTCCTCTTCTTGCTTCCCATTTGTTTACTGTGCATGTATACACATATGCACATGGGTGTTTGTATATGTGTATGTGTGCCTGAGTTCGATTTTGGGTGTCTTCCTCAATCATTCTCCACCTTATTTTTTGAGGCAGGGTCTCTCACTGAGCTTCACCCACTTGGCTAGACTGGCTTGCAGGATCAGCCTTTCTCCACCTTCCCAGCTCTGGGATCAAACATGTAACTCCATATCCGGTCATGTGAGTGCTAGGGATCAAACCCAGGCCCCCTCCCCACCAACATTCCTGTAAGTAACCCCAATACAACTCATTGGTTCACCAAGTTGGACTTTGGTGGTGTCTGTATTTGGCCTGTCGTGGGTTCCCTATCTGGGGTGAGTAGATGTATGTGTGTCTCCACAGGAAAAGTCTTATCACACTACAGATGGTGTGGTCACCACCACTTAGACAAACAGTGACGGCATTCGTAGTTCCAAGGAAGATCGTCAAGGTTCAGTATCCATGCCACAGTCACCTGACTTTCTGGAAAGTCCTGAAGAGTCTGCCTGCCCACATTAGAGGTCCCCTTGGAGAACTTAAGGTCTGTTTTTTCCTTTCTCGGCTCATTCTCTGTTCCCGCTACACACCTCCTCTCCAGGCAGACCCAGGCAAGCTTGTGTTACCTTCTTCACAGTGTGCTAGCGAGGCTGCTTGTCACAGGCCTCATGCTGAGGCATGGCAGACTCAAGGGCTTGTCTGTGGGGCCTGTGTTTTGACTATCAGTTTACCGAAACCTGTTATTTGTTGACATGGCTTACCTGCTTATTTATTATAAGAAACAACTTGAGACACCGCTCTTAAAAATATTCTATGTGCATGTATGTGGGTTTGTGTGTGGGTGTTTGTGAGTGCCATTGCCCATGGAGGACGGAAGTGCCCGATACTTCTAGAGCTGAAGTTAATGGAGGTTGTGAGCTGCCTGATATGGGTGCTGGGAACTACACTGAGGGCCTTTGCAACTTGGGTGATTTTAACTGCTGAATCATTTCTCTAGGCCAAGTTTTGATACTGCTTCAAAGTTATAGAATTAAAAAAATGAATGAGTTTTACTGATAATTTTCCCCATGTTTGTTCTTTTCAATTCAAGACAGGTCATAGATGTTTGCAGAGTCTTTCTGAGTCTTTCAGGCCAACAGGAGTACTGTCTTGCTTGGATGAAACATTAGAAGTGGACGAGAAGGTGGATGAAGTTCCACGGTCTATCTAACGCTGCTGCAGTCTTTGGGGCTGGAATATGCTATACACAGTAGTATCCTTTGGCAAGGCTGGCCAAGGTCATACAAATACAGAACACTTACACACTATGGTATCGAGATAAAAATAATCACAGAAATCCAGAAACAAGCCCCCTTAGTGTAATCCCACAGAGAAGCAAAGGCATGTCACCTTTTTGATGTCCTCGCAGTCTTCTGAGGAGGTAGGGGGATGCCTGTGGGTGGCTGTGTAGGAAGCGAAGTCAGCTTGTAATTTTATCAAAGCCTCCTCACGCTCTAGAACCTGCAAGCGGTCATGTCAATCAGGGTGAGCAATTAATAACACACACACACACACACAAACACACACACTACTATTGCAGTGGGTTCCTCTCTGCAGCATGGGCTGGTGGTATATTTCTATAATTCACTGTACCCTTCCCACGGGTCGGGATGGATAAGAAAGAATTGAGCTCTCAGGCTTACATCAGGCTGTCTAAGGCAAATTTAGTTGACTCCCTTTTTCGTGGCTCCATGGGGAGTCTGTTAAGCTAACGTTCTAAAGAGAGACCCATACCAAAGCGTTGCTGCAGGCCAGTTTATTCCGAAGCTCCTGGATGAGGTCATCCTGCTCAGAAACCTTTTGCCAAACTTCAGACAGTCGCTTTAGGGTCTCCTGATGCTCTTGAATCACGCACGGAGAAGTGTAGATGCGTACCTTCGAGTGGTCGCCCTTGTTCTCAGGCTCCTGGGACATTCAAAAAGGATGGGTTGGTTTTGTTTGTACTTTGCAAGTCAACGTCAGAGTCTTACTAGACTCTAAAAGTGTTCTACAAGTGTGTGTTCGCCTTCAGTTAGCAGGACGTCCTTAACAGAAGGAAAACATCAGCCAGCACAGATACAAGATGAAGTCCCCGGTGGTTCTCAAGAGCATAACTCTGTGCTCCTCGTGACTCAGGTACCTCTTCTGTGACATCCTGTGCTACCAGTGTTTTCAGGAGCTGGGAAGTGGCATGCTAGGCATATCTGTGTGTGCATGTCTAACCCAACTTGTGTCCTTTTACATACGAGAGTGCGACTGTGCACAGTGGTAATGATTGTCCTCATTTGACAGTTTGTCAAGGATATTTTCCACAATTATTTGTAGATCTGTGTGTGTGTGTGTGTGTGTGTGTTTGCGCGCGCGCGCACGTGTGTGTGCTTATGACTAGTGTGTGTGGGAACCAGAGGTCAACATTGGGTCTCTCCCTCAATCATTCTCTGGTTTATTTTTGGAGACAGACTTTCCTATTGAACCTGGAACTCATGGATCTGGCCAGACTGGTTGACCAGCAAGCCCCAGGGATTTTTTTTTTCGTCTTTATTTCCTCGATGTGGGGTTTCCAAGAGTGCCTTCAAGCTTGACATTTTTTGTTTTGTTTTGTTTTTTTTTGAGACAGGTTTCTCTGTAGCTTTGGAGCCTGTCCTGGAACTAGCTCTTGTAGACCAGGCTGGTCTCGAACTCACAGAGATCCACCTGCCCCTGTCTCCTGAGTGCTGGGATTAAAGGTGTGCACCACTGCCGCCCAGCCAAACTTGACATTTTTATGTGGCTCCTGGGACTCAAACCCTTCTCATCGTGCTTGTAGGATAAACCTTTCCTGAGTCTTCTCCTCCTAGTCTGTCTTGTTCTCAAAATTAGTTTCAAATTACAGAAGTATTTGTGTCTGTAGTCTCTTTAAAAAAGCATGTGACATTGTAGGCAAGTATATTTTTCTTTGACTACTACCTGTAGTCCTGTGCCCTCTCTTTATAGAGAGGACAAATAGTGCACACACTTCTAAGACATTATTTCTACACTTATGTTATAAACAAATCTATAGGATAATGAGTTATGTTGGACTAAAATGGATTTTGAAACCTAAGATGTCTTAGAGATTTACTCATGGTATAAGTTCTTCTATTCTACCTTGTCCTTTCTAATTGTTTTAAAATGCATTTATTCAATCTCTTGTTGATGGGCATATAGTATATTTATGTTTCTTTTTTTTTCTAAAATAGAAGCTGAATACTTTTGCACATCAGTCTTTGAGTGCCTGTTTTGGCAAGTGTGTAGATTAAATTTCTAGTATTGGTACTGTAGTTCACGGCCCAAACTGAAATATGTTTTGCCAAGATGTTTTTAGTGTGTGTGAACGTGCATGCCGGTATATATGGACGCCAGGGGAAAACCCATGAGTCATCTTTAGGGACACTTTCCCCCTCCTTTGAGACAGGGTGTCTCATTGGCCTGGAACTCACCAATTAGGCTAGACTGGCTGGCCAGTGAGCCCCAGGGATCTTCTACTCTCCAGTTCCCCATGCTCAGATTGCAAGCATGCACCACCACACTCAGCGTTTTTACGTGGGTTCTGGGGATCAAACTCAAGTCCAAGGGCTTTCCTGACAGAGCCACCTCCGCAGCACCACTAAATCTAAAAGTTTTCCGCAGACAGCTGAAGTTGCATGGCTTGCTATCCATCTGTAGTTGTAATGTCTGCAGTAGTAATGGGGGGCACTGTTGTGGGGTATTTGTACCCTGTGCGAATATCTTGCTGTGATTGGTGTAATAAAGAGCTGACTGGCCAATAGCTAGGCAGGAGGTATAGATGGGACTTCCAGGGACAGCGAGGACTCTGGGAAGAAGAAAGGTGGAGATGCCAGGAGATGCAGAGAAAGCAGGATATGCAGGAGGAGAGGTAACAGCCATGAGACACATGGCATAGCATAGATAAATATAAATGGGTTATTTTAAGTTATAAGAGCTAGTTAAAAACAAGCCTGAGCTCTAGGCTGAGCTTTCATAATTAATTAGAAGTCTCCGTGTCATTATTGGGGGCTGGATGGACAGACAAAGACTTGTTACAGGGAACTGAGGCACATAGTTAAACTAGCTCGGAGTTCCAGGGTGGATAGTGGATCTCGGCCCCAATAGACTGTTCTCCCTAATCCCTAACTCCTGAAGCAAGCTAATTTTAGAAATAGTTCACGTTCATTGAACGTGAAAGTTGCTGGAGAAAGGTCAGTCAGCAACCCAGAATTGGTCACAGATGATGCTTATGTAAATAATTTAGCACACAGGAGGCAAAAGATTGGGAAACATAATAGAAAAAGGACACAGCAAGAAAATACCTACAGGTTCTAATATCATCTTAATTCTATAGGATAAAAATGGAAATTGATTTAAAAGTCATAAAAGAATAACTCCCTGAATATAGCTCTCCGGATGAAGAGTACATTAAGCATTGAGAGGTGTGATAAAGACTAAACTAAAACATCTTCAGCCTGTCCCCACCACCCTGAGTCAGGGAAAAGAGATGACCTATGACCTATGAGACATAAGACAGAGATTGAGATCACAGACTTTGGTACTGAGCAGTACAAAGCAACACAGCAAGGCCTTCAGAGGCCCCGGGGAAGACGATTTGTTAGTTTGTACATCCAGCTGACTAGCATTCAGGATTATGTCCAAAAGATCCTTGGATAGACATGAAAATATTGAGAAAGCTTGCCACTGGTGACCGTTTTTGAATGCATTAAGAAGAAATTATTGGATCACAAAGGGAAGTATGAGGATGGGGACCAGGTGAGGTGCGAGGCTCGGCAAGGATGTGCAAACATTGGAGCCGTTTGTCATCTCAGAGAAAAGATATTTCCCTATGTGATACGAACTGCTCCAAAGCTTTAAAAAAAACCTGGAGAGTTTCCTCCCTCATCTTAGGATGCATAAGTCAGATGTCAGTATGAGGTGAGAACACGGGGCTGGGGTCTAGTCAGGTGTAGGGCTCTTGCCTAGTCTGTGCGAAGTCCTGGGTGACTCCCAGGAAAAAATAAAGATAGATAGATAGACAGACAGAAATTTAAACTGTCAAATTAACCTTGCTTCTTTAAATTTAATAATAAAACAGTTTTTAAAGTGGCATTATAATCGAGTAGAGTTTATTTCAGGAACACAAGGATTATTAATATATGGAAATTTATTAATATGAGAAAATATTACCTATTTCATTAAGGGACAGTTCCAGCCCATGCTGATTTGAATTTTCCCTGTATCCCTGGTTGACCTTGAATTTGCAATCCCTCTGCCTCAGCCTCTCAAGTGTTGGGATTATAAGCATGTGCCATCAAGTCTGGCAAGGATATAAACAGTTATATCTTCAACTTGAGAAAAAGTTATTAATGAGAAACTGAGAACAACCTTGTGTTTAATGATGAGATCTAGGAACACTTTTTTTCAATTTTTGATTTTTAATTTTTTTTATTCATCTATTTATTTTACATCCTAGCCACAGCTTCCCTCCACATTCTCCTCTCCAGTCCACCCCCTCACTCTAATCCCCCAATCCCTTCCTCTTCTGTCTCCATCCAGGAAGGGACAGGTTTCCCATGAATATCAATAAAACATGGCATAACAAGTTGCAGTAAGACTAAGCACCTCCCCGTGTATTAAGGCTGGGCAAGGCAACCCAGTATGAGGAGTAGGGTCCCAAAAGTCAGTAAAAGAGTTGGCGACAGTCCCTCTTCCCACTATCAGGAGTCCCATAAGAGGACCAAGCTATACAACTGTAACATACATGCAGAGTGCCTAGGTCAGTCCCATGCAGCTCCCTGGTTGCCTGTTCAGTCTCTGTGAGCCCCCATGAGGCCAGGTTAGTTATATGAGCCTTCCTGTGAAGTCCTTGACCCCTCTGGCTCCTACACTCTTTTCTCCTCCTCCTCCTCCTCATCTGCAAGATTTCCGAACTCTGCCTGTTTGGCTGTGGGTCTCTGCATCTGCCTCTCTGATGACAAGTTGGGCCAGGCACCAATCTGGTCACAGGAGGCGGCCAGTGCAGGCTACTTATCCACTATTGTTAGGAGTCTAAACTGGGGTACGGCCCATAAACTTCTGGGAGATTTCCCTGCACCAGGCTTCCACCCAACCCAGAAATGCCCCCCAGCAGTCCTCCTTAGCACTCTCCCCCCTCTGTCCTACCCGCTTCAGTCACTCACAAAATCTCTCTGTTTCCCCTTCCCAGGGAGGTCTGGGTGTCTCCCCACGAACCTTCCTTGTTACCTAGTCTCTCTGGATCTGTGGATTACAGCATGGCCATCCTTTATTTTACAACTAATCTCCACTAGTGAGTGAGCACATACCATATTTGTCTTTCTTGGTCTGGGTTACCTCACTCAAGATGATTTTTTTTCTAGTTCCATCCATTTGCCTTCAAATTTCCTAGTGTCTTTGCTTTTAACAGCTGAGTAATACTCCATTGTGTAAATGTACCACATTTTCTTTATCCATTTCTTGGTTGAGGGGCATCTAGATCATTTAGGAAAACTTTGTTTAACGCGAGGAACAAAGACGCTCTGAGAGGCAACTCAGTCCAATGAGACAGAACTCATGGTAGTTAACCACCCCCATCTCTTTTTGAGACAGAGCCTCTCTATGTAGTCCTGACTGTCCTGGAACTCACTCTGTAGACCAGGCTGTCTTCAAACTCACAGAGAGGTCTCCTCTGCCTCCCAAGTGCTGGGATTAAAGGGAAATGTGTCTGGATGGGCTGCAGCTGCCGGCTAAGGCGTTTGGTCCCTACCTGGCCGATGATTCCGCTGAGTTCTCCCTCCAGCATCTTCACTTGACATTCCAGCAGCTCGATGTTGCTCAGGGAGGTCTGGTACTTGTCCCTGTAGAGGTTTAGGCTCCGTTCTAGGGAGATAATCTTGTCCCCCGCCAAGGCGAGCTGCTCTTGCGCCAGATGGAGCTTCTCCCCAGTGTTCTTATTATGGTTCCCCATTTCCTCCTCATAGAGAATGACCTGTAAGTGTGGGAGGGGAACCGCGCTGAACCCATGCAAGAGGCCAACCAGGAAGGGAAGGCTAGGACCGTGAGATCCATAGTAAGCGCCTCTAGACTAGAAGCCGCAGTGAACAGTGTAAGTACAACACAGGTCTAAGTGCCCCATCATTTAGTATCAGGTTGTTAGCGACTGGAGCACTAAATAGGCTCATCTGCTTAGAACTAAGCTCTTTTTTTTTGTTTGTTTGTTTTTTGTTTTTCAAGACAGGGTTTCTCTGCAGCTTTGGAGCCTGTCCTGGCACTAACTCTTGTAGACCAGGCTGGTCTCGAACTCACAGAGATCCGCCTGACTCTGCCTCCCAAGTGCTGGGATTAAAGGCGTGCGCCACCAACGCCCGGCAGAACTAAGCTCTTAAAGGCAGCAATTGTGTCTTCTCTTCTCTCTGACATTTGGTAGCGATGGAATAAACACCTGCTGATTAACAGGAATAAGTTTGAGCCATTCCCTTTTTTCCTGAAAGGACTTGGAATGCCCATGTCCTTCCGTGGCTGGGCTCTCTCTAGGGATCTAATTAGGAAAGAATAGAGTCCCACATGCTCACGGTTTCGTGTCGGCAAGTTCCCAAGAGACAGTGAGGGGCCATGATCCGAAGTTCCTCTGAGATCTGCATGGTCCTTATGTGGATGACTTTTCTAATCTGTCATCTGATAGGTATCTCTAGGATTCTCGCGAGCGTCCCACTGAGTGAGGACAAGCTCTCCACATGGGAGACACAGCCTCACCTCTCCCACAATCTTAAGGAGACCCGATTTGAAATTAGCAAGTTACTGTCTACAACTGAGTGTGCTGAGTTGCATGTCGAGTTGTGTGTGTTTCGAGGAGTCTGCAGGAGGTTCGCCATGGAAGGCTTCATATGTTTCAAACTGTCCAACTCTTGACAGAAACTGGCCCATTAATTAAGCTGGTTAAACTAATTGCCTCACCCGAGATCCCTCTTAGGAAAGGATTATTTAGTTGACGGTGTCTGTTAGGGAGAGAGGAGAGAGGGGCGTTTGATGTTCATGTGTTACAGCAGAAAGGGCTGGCTCTACTCACATTCCCGTAGCATTTCCTATTTTTAAACATATATATGTTGTGCTTGCACATACACATGTGTCTATATGTAGTATGTGTATGGGGCCAGCTCTGTTGGTAGCCATGTAAATTGGTTTGAGGACCCCTGAAGACAGCGAATTCTGAGCGCTGGCTATTTCTTTGCACACAGCCCTTTCCAGCGCCAAGCACTTTTGGCTGCTTGCTCCTTCAGCCAGAGGAAAGTTAGGTGAGACCTGCTGATGAGTGAATACCCCCAGGAGTGAATGCCAGTGGTGTGGGTTGGGGGTCCACTCTGAGGACTGTTCCACAATATCTTCCAGAGCTCCCCAGGGGTTGAACCCTGGTTGCCTAGAGCAAGTCATAGACTTCATTTGACCAAACCTCCCCATGCTTCTGGGAATCACTTCCTGGATTCAGTACATGACGGTGCTCATAGACTCATCTCAGGGTCTGCTGCTGGTAGAACACAGCCTTAGACAGGGTGCGATGCTTCTGTGTTAAAGACGTCAAGGGAGGTAAACAGAATGTTTAGAAAACATTTAGTTTTTCCAGATTGCGGTCTCTGACCTCTGCTTGCCAAATGCTGTCCCTAGTCTCCTCCTTAATAGCTAAATGTTAATTTGATTTTGACTGGGGGCAGCAATATGTCTCCCAAACACCACATTTCTTGGCTTCCTAGGAACTAGCATTAGTCTCTCTCTCTCTCTCTCCTCTCTCTTCTCTCTCTCTCTCTCTCTCTCTCTCTCTCTCTCTGTAACTTCTGGCAAGTGTCCTTAAAAGGAAAACGTACTTTCTTCCCATCTTCCCTTTCGCCTGGGTTATTTGGAATAGCAATGTGATTGCCGGAGTTCTGGCAGTCACTTCAGGGGACCCAGGGAATGGACATCTTAAGTAGATGGAAGGATAAAGCTAAAAGTCAGACTTTAGGATCCTGATGACACATGCAGTTGTCATAACAGCAACAGGCCACCTGCCTCTGACTGTCGCTAACAGCTCTTTCTGGTCCTTGCTGCTAAGTAGCATCCCAGCTAATTCGGGGGTGCTTTATCCAGGTTGGGCTCTGGTGTAGGGTGCAGTGAACAGCCAGTTGGAACACTTAGAGCTTTGTTAAACCACAGTTGAAGCTCGCAGACTTCCCCCAAATGACATTTTGCGGGATAACCTTTCTTTCTTCCTCTCCCATCCATTTTCACAAACTCTTTCTAAGCCATACTATGCCCTTTAAAGAATTTTCTGTGCTCTCTATACAGCCCTCTTTCAAGCCCCTGGAGTTAGTCTTTAAGGAAAAACACTGTCTAAAATACTCCTTGGAATTTTCGTTAAGTCTGAAAAAGAAACTGTCAGGGGCAGGCACGCCTGTGAGTCTGCCTGCCCCATTACTTCAGAGCCACAGTGCTAAGACTGCCTACGCCCCTACTGCCAAGCCGAGCCAAGTCCTGTGGGTCTTTGGAATGTACTTGAAATTTCACTGGGATGATGGTCGTTGCTTTAAAAAAATATTGCTCTGGAGCACCAATATAAGTGAATGTGGAAAATGCACTTACGCTAAGTCTGTAGCTCTACAACTCTAGCCTGAAGAACAATATGGCCCTTAGTGACCCACTCCAAACCGGGGCTGGACATCTTACCATTTGTGCGGTGCCAGGGATTTATACAGCTCCCAAAGCCAACTTTCCTAAAAACACTCAACTTAATGGATCTTTTACTTTTTCTTTTCTTTTTTAACTCTGAGAGATCTGGAGTCTTTTGTACTTTAACAACCCTAACAATATGGAGGAGATGGCCTCTCACGCATAGATACACCACACGTGCGTGTGTGTGTGCAGGAGCCCCACCCTCCGCACACATTAATACCGGCTCTCTCAACCTAGTCCTGCCAGTTCATTGAGTTTCCCTCTGCTAACCTTCAGGTGGGTCATGCACTAGGGAGGGGGGCTCTTAGGTCTGCTCCAGGTGGTGCAAGGCCCTCCCTTTGAAATGTGGTGCTTGCCTGCCGTTGGGGAGGGAGTGCTGGAGGTGCACGGGCACCTGGGACAGGCCAGAGGTCAATCTCGAGATACCTCATCTTCCTTGAGCTTGCAGTGATGGTGAAGAAGAACCAGGTCGGAGGTCTGCTTCTCCAGGATAGACTGGTACTGCAGCAGCGAGCAATAGGAGGTCTGCAGCTCCTGGGTGCGGAACTCCAGCTCCTGCTGCAGGGTCAGCAGCTTCTTCTTCAGCTGCTGCAGCTGCCTCAGGTGACACTGCTTATTGGCCCCGAAGTCCACGAGGGTCTCCTTGAAGACTAGCGTCTGGGCTTGCTTCTTGTTCTACAGCATGGGCAGGATGTAGAGAACAGGGTCAGAGGTCATAGAGCGGCCTTTTTGTGTTTGTTCAACCGTTCACACCCAGCTCTCCACCCTCTGATGCTTTCATCCACAGAGAAATGTCTAAACATTTCTTTACATGCCTCAAGCACTGTATCACTTCATATTCCTGTTCTGCGAGAAGGAATCAAAAGAAGAAATGACCCTTCTTGGAAAAAAGTTAAAATGACATTTATTTATTCATTTGTATGGTTGGGTGGGTATGCAACCTACCGTGGTGGACAAGCGGAGGTCAGAGGGCAATTTTTGGGAATTGGTTTTCTCCTTCCACCAACTCGGGCCATCAAGAATGGTGGCAAGTCCCTTTATCCACTGAGCCATCTCACTGCCCTGTGTCCCCAATCCAGAGCTATTATTATTCATGTAGGCCAGAAGAAAAGTAATCATTCATATAAAGGATCTATAGAGATATGGTTAACACTGTGCTTACTTGTTTCATGCACGTGGAAAGAAGACAAGCTTGGGCTGGGAGGAAGTAAAGTTTTGGTCAATGGTTCCTGAAGTGACTTAAGTATTAAGAGTACCCAGGTAACAGAGCTAAGTTTGTGGGAGGAGACATGAAATTCCCTCCTATAGAGTGAGCCTTAAGTTCCACTATAGGCAGCTGCGGGCTACCCACAAGACGGAAGTGGCACTCTTGCTCCCCTGAAGCTACCTCACTGGGCTGGTGATTGCTGTAGTTTGTCGATTTTCCAGCTTTGTAGGACCACGGATTGCTTTTTTTCCCGGGCACCTCACACAGCACCTTCCAACGCTGTGCCAGTCAGCCTTCAGAAGGCTTCCGGATCAGTTCCAGCTCAGTTTCTCCAAGTCCTGTGTTCAGAGTGTGTGGTGTGCTCAGCACTAGGATCTTAAAGATGTCTTTGCTTATGGAGGACACTGGATGAGGGCTGATGGGCAAGGGAGGACAGAGAGTATTACTTGCAGCCTAGCCTAGGGCAAGGGAGGACAGAGAGTATTACTTGCAGCCTAGCCTAGAGCAACGGTGTGCTGCCTTCCTAGGCTCAGGTATGTTTCTTTCTGTGTAGCTTGCGCCGTGTGAATTTCTGTGCCGTGTGAAGGGGGGCAGGTCAGGCCAGTTCAGTTGGTATTTGGGGCCTTACCATGAGCCACTGTGCACTAGTTTCCATTCACCTTCTGCCATGCAGATCGGGCAGCCTCGGTTGACAATTCAGTCCTGGTCCAAGTCTAGCGTCACAGGGCAATGGGCTACATTTCTTCGGTGTCATTCCAGCCTGTCCTGGTCTCCATCATGATTTCCAGGTCTGTCTGGGACTTTGTAGGGAGGAAGACTGACTCAAAGGAGGGAGAAGAGGTGACAACCCTCACTAACTTCCCCTATCACCACCGTGATGTGCTCAGCAATCAGAGTTTTACCTTCAGGTTCTGGGAGACTACTAAGAGCAACGATGGCTATATTGTTTTTCAGTCTCTTGGACTCAAGGCATTACAAATTATGTTTCGATAGTTTCGTTGAAGTTTAATAATTTATAAATGATAAAAATCCTGCCATTGATAAGTATGCAATTTCTTAATTGTGCTCTATTTGTAAAATTATGAGAGCGGGCTGTGGGCATGGCTCCGTTAGTAAAGCACTTGCTATACAAGCATCAAGGCCGGAGGTCAAATCCCCAGAAGCCATGTAAAAGCCAAGCATTGTCTTTGGAGGCTGTAGCAATAGCACTGGTTATGTGGGGAGAGAGTAGAGACAGGTGGATAGACAGACTGCCCAAGCTTGTTAGCCAGCCAATCGGTGATCTTTGGATTCAGTGAGAGACCCCGTCTCAAGAGAGAAAGTGGGATAGTGGAAGGCATCTCGTGTGGCCTCTATAAGCACAGATATCTGCACATGTGCATTCTACACACACATACATACATATCTTTCATAGCGTTTACCAAGGACACACGGCACAGTCTACCGAAAGTCAGCTGTAAGAAAGCCAAACCAGGAGCAGAGAAAGTGCACAGGAGGTGACTATGGAAGAATCTGGCAAGGAGAGAGTGGTCTGGAGCAATGTCGTAGGTTGGATCCTAGATCTATTTTGAAAATAGAGCCTTCAGAATTCACCACTGAGTTAGATGTTAGGCTGTGGGGGAATCATGGCCGTCCAGACAAGAGTGACTGGAGTCACTGGAGAGATGGGATTTTAATGAAGTTTAGTTGAGATCCTAGGGTAAGAAACCGTAGGTGAGAAGGGTGGTGGTGGCAAGGATGAGATACTGACAGCCCAGCTCAGGACCACAAAGACAAATCCTGATGGTGTCAGCCCAATCGGTATTCCTTTTTCCCAGCCCTCTTTGAAACTGACCTCGCTTCCCATGCCTTGGAATTCAGAAGATGGACAAGAAATGAACCATGGTTGTCACCAAGCAAAAGAAATATTCAGCAAAGACAAGTTTAGTATTTGGATCCAGTAACTTATGAATGCTGCCCCTAGGAAGGGGACGAAATCTGTATTTACAGAATGTAGTTGTGATTGTCTGTGTTTATATAAAATCCTGCTAGGTGCGTTTAGTCTCCCCAAGCTAATGCTGCCGTTCTCACAACTCACTTGCTAATGAGGTTTGGAGAAGAGGGAGTTGGGCATGCGTGTGGATGTGTGTGACACACACACTCTCTTCTCTTTCTGTCTCTCTGTCTGTCTCTCCATCTACATATACCCCACGCAGGCACACAAATGTCTCTACAGGGAAGGATCCAAGAGCTCAAATCCTTTTTTCTATACAGATAGAGGGGCTATTGGGAGCTATAGTGGAAAAAAAACTTCTTGCAGTTAAATAATGTGGGCAGAGCTTAAGTGTGGCATGAACATTTTGAGTTAGAGCTGATTCTGAGGGACTCGCTTCAATGAAGAGAATACCCCAAGTCCCTGATCATATGAGCTCAAGTCATTTTTTCTCTTGACTTTTTTTTTTTTTCAGGCAAGTTGATTGCTGAAGGTTAAGACCTAGGATCTAGTAGAACTTTAGATCTGCCCCTCTGCTGCTGGATGCGGAGGCTTCGCTGGAAACTCTACCGCCGTCTCCTTGGGTGTATTCCTTCCTTGCCTCTCCCTCATGTCTCCACTCTTCTCTCCATTGTCCAAAAGGACGAGAAAAGCCCTCGTCGTTTGAAAGCAGCAAATTGTCTTTTCCTCCTAGCACCTGGGGATGCCAGAGAGTTCAGACTTGCTCACTGGCTTTGAGGCTTCCTGTGGGTATAAGATGTCGTTTCCTGAGTGCTGCGCACGAATCCCTCCATCCTGGCAGCCATACTAATGAACTGCGAGTCGTTTCTCTTCCTCACAGCTCATGCGGAATCCTGGATTTGACGTTAGTTGGAGGGAACACGATAGAACAGCCAGATGGTGGGGTGTTTTGAACTCTTGCCGTATGTAACAAATACAGCACCTGGACTAATGCCACCGGTTAGGAAGACCCAAGAACCAAGCCCACAGAGAAGCTGGAATTTTATGGGATGGGAATTTTAGACATTTGCATATTAGAGGTGCCTATGGGTTTGGAGACACCAAATTTTATAGATGAGGAGAAATGTCTAAAATTAGTTCAGACCTATTAAATTTCTGCTTATTTGTCCTTATATATTTAAAAGTTTGTTTTCTTAACTCTTGATAAATATGAAGCAATAATAATAGGTTAAATTGAATAATGGGTTAAAACAAATGATAGGTTAAATTCACAGTTTACTTATACGCGTGACAAAGGACAGATTCGGACAGTCACCGTTACACTTTCTATCGTGTGTGTGTGTGTGTGTGTGTGTGTGAATACATGTGGGACCAGAGGTTGAAATCAGGTGTCTTTTTCTTCAATTACTTTTCACCTTAATATTTTGAGACAGGGTCTCTTACTGAATCCGGAGCTTGCCAGTTCGACTAGGCCAGCTCTGAGCTGCTCCAGGAATTTGCCATTTCCTCCTAAGCTCTAGCCCTAGATTGACAGATGTGCGCCACCACAGCCAGCACTAACACAGCTGCTGGGGAGCTTCATCCAGATCCTCACGCTTGCACCGAAATCTCCTTACCCATGATGCCACCTCCCCAGTCCCCGTCTTCTTTTCAAAAGTTTTTTTTTCCTAACGAATATATAGACATTATATTCTTCCTTGAGTTTTAATTTGGAATCTGGAAAGAAAAGAAAAAACCCAAGCAAGTTGGAAGCGCCTTTAAAGAAGTAATCCCAGCTCCCTAGGTAACTGTCCAGGGTTGGATGTGACTCTGGAAACCATCTGGTCTACCCGATTTCTCTGCTAGATTTCTGCCCTGGTCTTAGCCACATGAAAAGCTGGAGATGTCTGGTTGCCCATAGGAAGCTGTTCCCATATTTCACCAACCTTTCAGCCCCACTGGAAGTGAAAGTCAAAGAGACGGTAACTATTGCTCCTTCCTTGCCTATGAGGCCACTTGAGCGCGGAAGGAAATTAATTGGCCTGGCATGATTCGTTTTTTTCGAAAAGTCACATTGGTTCCCACCCAATACTTTGTGCCTTTGAAGCCGATGCTAATTGATTGATGTTAAGTTCTGTATTTTCCCTGGTACTGAAGTGAGGCTGACAAGTCTATAATTACCAGGATTGTCCTCTCTCCCTTTTTAAGAGGATGAGCACTTCATTTACCCTTTTTCAGTCTACAGGGACTGCTTGATCCTCTTGCGTTCTCAAAAATAATCACTGGCAGCTATGTAATAACACCTGCCAATTCCTTAAGCACTCCTAGAAGAATGTCATCAGGCCCTGCTGATTTGCCTAAAGCTGGCTTTTCAAAAATACTTTAACCATTTCTTCCTTCTTCAGGCTTGCGCGTTCTGCCATCACGGGTTGGCACTGTTCTGATAACTGTGCCCCTGATAGTTTTCTTTATTCATTTAAGAACTTAGGATTCCGCTGTCTTTCCCCCAGTCATTGCCATGAGCTTCCTTTCCCGTCTTGGAGGTGTGGTGTGAGATACTTCCTCGGACCCCCACGTTAACCTTCTTTATCGCTAGAGAGGCTTGCACGTCACTGCCTATGTAATCTATAAATTATGGGCACTTTTGTTGAGCACAGAGCTGCACATTCAGTGACAGGCATTTTATTAAAATGAATGTTTGTGGTTTAGACAGTTTTCTCACTGGACCTCTGCTTACATAGGGGCCCATTTTTAAAAAAGCTATTTTGGAATGATTCTTTCTCTATTCCTAGACAAATGCCAAAAGTAGGACAAATTTCTCATGCATCCTCCATTGTATTGTCCCAATGTTACCTTCTTATGCAACTCGACCAAGAAACTAACTCTGGTTAGATGATTAGGGATGAAACTAGATACAGTTTTTGAATTTTGTATATTTTCTATTAATTTTTATTTTCTGTTCTCTCATCCAATTCAGAACCTCCCACTGTATTTAGCAAATTCATTAAAATTGCTTCCATTAGCAGTGGTTGAAAATGATAGTGTGATAATGCTCACCAGGCTTCTACTAATCTTCAGATCGTCAACTAATTGCCTTCACTTGAAAGAATAATATTTTCTTTATATCTATTTATACTAAAAATGGTGCCCTCCATCTGTCTCCAAGATTAGTTCAATGATATGAGTTCTGGTCCCTGGGTATGCTCCCCAAACCCCCACCAGTGAGTAAAACCTGGGCAAATTGCTAAAAAGGCTCTCCTTTTTCTGATATTTATTTGGTTTCAGCTTGTGTGTGTGTGTGTGTTTCTGAGTACGCCTGCATTTGTGTGGAGGCTAGAAGCTGATGTCAGACATCTTCCTCACTTGCTGTCCATCTTATTTTTGGAGAAACAGTCTTTCACTAATGTGTAGCTTTCCTCCTTAATTTGACTGGTTGGCTAGCAAGGCCCGGGGGCTGTTCTGCCTCCACCTCTCCCGTGCTGAGGCTACAGGCATACATTGCTCCCATGTTTTATTTGAGTACTTTTTATGAGTTTGTAGGATTTGAACCCAAGTCTTCATGTTTGTGTATCAGGCACTTTTACCTACAGACCCATTTCTCAAGCTTCTGACTCATTTTAGAGCTGTGTCTTCCATATAACTCAGGCTAGCCTAGATTTTGCTTCATGGGCCAGGATGGATTTAGGTTGGTAATCCCCCTGCCTCTTGTTCCCTAGTTCTGGGATTTCAGGTGTGTAACACAGCATGCAATCTTGGACCACCATGTTATTTTAATATCTTAGCTGTTTTTTTCCTTCTTTCACCTTGAGTCACTCTGAGTAGAGTGAGCCGGGGGACACGGTATAAACTGAAGGACCTAATTCAGTCTCAGGGGCAGGCAAGTGCAGGCTGGTACCCAAAGGTGAAGTGCCCATCAGTTCTCTGTCTTGGGTATCCTACTTTAAAATAATTCCCTATCTTAAAATAAAAAAGATTTTATGCCAGCAGGTGGTGGCGCACGCCTTTAATCCCAGCACTCAGGAGGCAGAGGCAGGAGAATCTCTGTGAGTTCGAGGCCAGCCTGGCTTACAAGAGCTAGTTCCAGGACAGTTAGGGCTGTTACATGGGCTTTTACTCTGTCTTGACTCTAAAAGATTTTATTTTAAATGGTGTGTGTTTGTGTGTCTGAGTGTGCGTTTGTACCGGTGAATGCAGTACACATGGAGGTCAGAAGAGGGCGCCAGGCACCTAGAGCTGGAATTACAGGAGGTTGTGAGCTGCCCAGTGCTGGGAATCAACTCTGGTTTTCTGCAAGAGCAATCTGCTTCTGATGGCTGAGTCCTCTCTCCAGTCCCAGAACCTCATTCTATTTGCCACAAGCTCCGCTCTGCTCCTGGGGTTTGGAGTCTGTGTTCTTTGGTTTATAGGGCCATACACTTTCTCTTCCATTACCCATCTCTTCCTCCTTCTCTTTCCTTTGTTACACATAACATCTGATATAATAGTTTACTTTTCTCCCCTAAATATGGTCCTGAATCAGGACCTCCTGCCTATTTGCCCAGCTCCTCATCAGTATTAGTCAAAATTCCAGAAAGCCTGGTGTTTCTCCTTTGTCAACACGGAAAGCAGGTCTTGGAGGGGCTCCGAGGAGATAGGTGTAGGTCTCCATGTAATTGTGTGTTTGTACGCATAGCGTGCAATTTAGATTTTGCACTAAGTGCTAGGGAAAAAGAGCTTTGTTTTAAAGCTTGTCTCAAGCTGTTAGACCTTCTTCTGGGCAATTAGAATAATAAAATGCGATTTAATGCCTTTCTCCTTCTAAGCTGCCAGACGCATTTATAAGCCCATGGCTTCCTCCGACTGGGGCGATAAGTAAACTCATGGTAGCTGTGAGTGGAAATATCCTACAATGTTCATATTTAGAAAGAAATAAATTATGATCGTCTTCCTGAGATTGATTTAGGAAAACCAGCTGATTTTCTTTTAAACTTTTTTGGTGATTTTCCTGAGTAAGGTCAGTAAGAGGAGGTGGAATTGCTTGGCTGGTAGCGGATGCAGGCAGCTTCAGGGAACAATGTGTGGTTTATTTCGTGAAGTGGAACATCCTGGGAGCGTGGTAACAGATGCAATGAGGAGAGGCCAGCAATGTGTGGCTACCTACACAGCAGCTGGGGGTCTAACCCAGGGATTCCGCGAGGGTCTGAGCAGCAGTAACTATGTTTACATGGAACTTAGTTTACAATCAGAAAGAAAGGGGCCATAGTACGGAATTCTCAGAAATCATCCCATCTGCTCCCCAGATTTGTGTCAATGCATTTAGAGACTGGCTTAAATGCTTCAGGTTTCGAGTTTGCTAAGAGAAAGAGAGCCTCAAGTTGAAGGGAAATTGCTTAGTTGGTGCACTGTCTAGACCTAGAGGTTAAGGTTAATTCAAAGTCAGTTTTGAAGCTGGGCGGTGGTGGCACACTCCTTTAATCCCAGCACTCAGGAGGCAGAGGCAGGCGGATCTCTGGGAGTTCGAGGCCAACCTGGTCTACAAGAGCTAGTTCCAGGACAGGAACCAAAAGCTACGGAGAAACCCTGTCTCGAAAAATTAAAAAAAAAAAAAAAAAAGAGTCAGTTTTGAGAAAGACTGGCAAGGCGTAGTAAGGTCTGCCTTTTCACATTTGAATAGGGTATGGGTTACCACTTGACCTGCTTGGGCTGTGAAGTCAGGCCCCACAACGAGGCACTGAGGGTCAAGTAGCTTGTGTGGGAGGTGGTTGTAGAAAACTCAGCCACGTTAGGGATGGAGGCAAGGAAGGGGGAGAAGCAGGCTAAGCTTGCTATGACTGATCCACTGGGCTCAGTCTGATGGAGGAATTCTGGGGGAGAGCAAAGGGCCCCAGCCTTGAGTTAGCTTGGACTGAGGGGAAAGGGATGTGGTAATTTGATCAGTCTTCTCCCTATCTGTCCGTTATTGGTTGAGGACTCTCCGGCACGTGCTGATGGAATGACTGGATTCCAGCCTCCAGAAGAACGGCTTCCAGGCAGTGAGGCACAGTTGTGGCATTAAGAAGGGGCTGGAGAGATGGCTCAGAGGTTAAGAGCACTGCCTGCTCTTCCAAAGGTCCTGAGTTCAATTCCCAGCAACCACATGGTGGCTCACAACCATCTGTAATGAGATCTGGTGCCCTCTTCTGGCCTGCAGGAATACACGCAGACAAATACTGTATACTTAATAAATAAATAAATATTTTACAAAAAAGAACACCCGTCAGCTGATACGCAGAGATGTTTCAGAGAGGGCACAGTGGCATTCATTGCCATGGCTAACTCAGAAGTTTGCCCGAGACCCACACTTATATCACTGTGATCTAGTATTTTCAGGATGAGCTAAATCCAGATAAGGAGAAAGATAATATCCAATATCGTGATAATGCTGGAAATAGCTAGGTTGAAAAGCCCCAAAGCTAGGAATTATGTCAGACCACGTGTGGTATGATTAGTTCCCTCCCTGCTTGGTAATTCAGTACTTTGAGTAACCCACAGGAGAACTCAATTTAGTTCCCATCAAAAGAAGCTAGGGTAGTCAGGAGGGGCGAGGCAGGCAGCTGCTGCCCAGTGCCTTACGTGGCTCTTGTTCATCAGGGCCTCCTCCACACACAGCTGGTTCTCTTGCAAGGTCTTCCCCTGTCTCTTGCAGACGTCATGGAGATTCTTGATGTCGAGCTGCAGGCTCAAGAGCTTGCTGTTCAGGTTGTTCACTTCTCTGTCTCTCTCCCCGGCCTAGGCAGCCAGAAAAAACAAAATCATCAGTTAGGAGTGACCGAGGAAACACTTGCTTCCTTCACTTAGCAGGTTGACGGGGAGCTGAATTTGCTGCGAATCTGCTCGCCGCATCTCTGCTGATATTACTCATCTCGGGTAACATTTACACAGGATCCATTGGTGAGGTGTCTGAGTGCCCTGCATTAGTCAGACGATTACTTATTTATATTAATTAATCTTCGCCACGCTGCTGTGGGGGCATCAGACAATTCCCCTGTTTTTCAAGAGGAAGTCAGGGCCTAGAATGGTTCCAGGCACCCGGAGAACTGTCTATAAATATTAATGGTCTGCCACTGATGAAATAAACATATCGAGATGTCAAATGAACTTGTCAAGACCACAGTGAATCAGCGATGGAGCTGATGAGGGATTCTGAAGCCTCTCAACTTTCTCTTTATTCATTAACCACCGCCCCCCGCCCCCCACCCCCGCCTATTAACCCAGTGCTTTTCTTTACAAGGCTTACCATTGGGAGCAAAAGAGAAAGGCCTGGCCTGATCAGTAAGATCCCCTGACTTTGATTAGGAGTTAGAAGGGTTAGCTAATTGTTGCTAGATCAGAATGGAGAGTGGTGACTTGGATCAAAACAAAGTGTGCAGAGAGAAGCGACTTGGGTGGGGAGGGGGGTTGGGTACAAAGCGATGGCAAGTGGGTGGGCTCTCTACCCCCTCACAATGCCGGTTTCCAGCGTGGGTGGTGGGTAATGTGAGAAGAATTTAGCGGGGAGCATTCGGCACCCCTGAAAGCTTCCTTCCTATGCCTGCATTGCTCTTCTTCATGCTTTAGAGGAAAGAAGGAAGAAGAAGGAAGGAAAGGTTCCCAGCTCCCATGTGAACCAGCAAACTGGTTAGGGAGGTGGGGCTGGGGAGCCAAAGAGAGAAGGGGAAGAAACTCTTAAAGGGGACATTTACACAGAAGGCCTTTGGCTGAGGTTAGCCCGATCCTATAGGACAATGCAGGGCATGATTACATCTCAGAGTTGATCTTGATTGGTGGGAATGAGAGTTGAGTTCTCAAACTCTACACCAGTGATACAGTGGCCAAGGACTGAACCATGGGATGTGAGCGACCAAGCACTCCCAGCCCTCTGGTGACCCCAGTGGCCTTAAAGCAACTGTTTCCAGAGGAATTCAGGGGAGGGGACACAGCAATGGGACATGGATCTGAGCAGCCTTTCCAAAGCCTCACATCTGGTTAGAAGGAGGGTCAGCGGATCACCCATGGAGCCAGGATTCCGCCACCCTACCACACTGACGCGGCAGCTTCTGGAATACATGAACTACACAGCACACACTCTCGTGGGAACTAGAGGCCTGAGATGGACGCAGTAAATCAGGCCTTAGCGGACTGGTCCATTTGGAAGACCTTTGAGCAAGGCCAAGGTGGGCCAGAGGACAGTGTGGGAGCTGGAACCACAGTGTCAGGGTACCCGGAATCCAGAGTGTTCCCAGAAGCCTTCCATCTCAGCTGACTCACTTCTCCATTTCCATTTAGTACCTGCAGCCCCCCCCCCATCACTTTATAGTTTAATTAGGTTAACGGCTCGGCTTTGTCATTAAAAGGATTTCATTATCTCAAAACCTCTCCCTCCCCCTTTCTAGCTCCTGTCCCTCACTCCTCACTTTCAGAAAAATCACACTGGATGTCAACTGCCCCAGGCCTGTGATTACCATTAAGACAATTACCAGGGTTTCTCTTAAGAGAATGTGTGCAGAAGGTGGTTTTAAAAATTGGCATGCAGACACTTTTTTTTTTAACTTGAAAACAAGATGCACGGTCCCAGTGAGGGAGCAACTGCTTCACCCTGTTTCCGTGGAGGCCTTTCTCATGGTCGTGCTGCAAGGGATGGTGTGGAAACTCACAGGGGATGCTCAGGGTCCCTTGGCTCTGGCTGCAAAATCACTTCTATCATCTGTGAATTAGGCGCCAATGCCACGCTTGCCCTACATGAGGGTCTGAGAACGCTCTGCACCTTCGTCTTGATGCTGATTTTGATCTTCAGGTGAGGACCATGTCCTAGGGTTGCTTGGAATGGAGCCACATCCACCGAGGGCTCCATACTACAAAGCCAATGAGACCCAACTTGAGCTTCCCCAAGTTAACAGTTTAATGCACTTTCTCATGCTAGTGAAAACATCCACTCTCTAGAGGTTGGACTACCCTCTGAGTAGAAAGCCTAATGTTACCCCCTTCCTGTCTACCCACAGGAATTCAGAGCGGGCCTTCAGCGTCATGTTATTTGGATATTTAGGATCAGCTTGGGGTCTCTAAGGAAATGTCTTCATTCATAAAACTAGAGGCTTGGGAGAAATCGCCTTCCTTTGCAGTCCCTTAAACCAGTTGAATAGCAAATGTGTTTTGCTAGATGTCAGATGAAATTTGCTAAAATAAAAATGTAACGGTTCATTCATTCCTAAACAGCAAATCATAGAGGTCTTGAGGTATCAGAGCAGGAGCAAAGGCTCGTGAAGAACAATGAGATGCTCCCCAGCATCCATTTTAGATGCAGTTAGTTGTACGAAGTGGCTGTGCTCAGAAACTCCGGAAAGGCGAGTGTTCCTGGGGTCCTAGTAGATCTAATTTATAATATCTTCTACAAAACACTAGCTGTGAACTATTTATAATCCCAGGTCCTTTTTGTAGAATGAATTTCCAGGCAGATGCCTTTAGAGTATCAATATGCATTAGGTATGGATTTATTCCGACATTTCGTCAATCACAGCTCTGTCAGCAGTACTGGGGTAGGAGACAGACCAAGAGCTGTAGTGCTGATTCTTGGGTATCATCTGATCTCATCATGGATCTGAAGTTGTTAGTGACGTCTGAAATAACAAACCTCTGTTGCTAGGAGACGTTTCATCTCCATAAGCCGGGGACTCAGATACCCAGCTTTACTTAAGTAAGATTCCAACCTGGCTACTCTGCCTGGAAGCATATGACGTTGGCCGAGCTACCAATCCACAGGTAAAATAGTAAATGCCAATACTGCAGTCGCCTCCATGAGCCTGGAAAATAAGCTATTCAATGAGAGTGAGTTCTGCATGGGTTAAGCAAGCCACTGGTTAATTAGCAGAGCTCCTCAAATACGTGTCTTAAGAGGGGGATTGCATGTGGCTCTGAGTTTTAAAGGCCTGACAAACAGATTCATGTCTATTCTCAGGTCGAGCTGTGTCAGACTTCAGCTTATGACTCAGCAGCACTTGAGGGAAAAGAGTATCTAAGATTCAAAATGGTGGCATTCTGGCGGTTTGGGGACTTGAACAAGTTGGCTTTGAAAAACTGGGGTTGTAATTTCTAGGCTAGCTTTGGCGTCAAATGGTGACTTGGGTAATCGCCTGTGACAAATTCTCTAAGGATGAAGACAAATCTTCTACAAATAGTGGAAAGCCACTTTTATACCAATCTATGATGAGCGTTGTGCTTTAGGAAGCCGAAAGCTGAGGCTGAGATTTCTCAGCAGGTTACGACACTGGTCCCCCAAACCTCGGGAACTGGGAGATCAGAGACCCAAGAGGTAGAAGTTGTTTTCTGACCTCCACCTTGCCCCTATAAATAGATAAATGTAATGATACTTTATGAAATCAAAGCCATAAAAACTAATGTTGCCTCAGGAATTTTTACATTTTACTTGTGATAATTGAGTTTACACTTATTAACAGTAATTCCAAACACTAATATGGATATTGCTGACCAGAATCTCAAGTTTAATTTTATATAAAACATTGCAGTTTTTGTATTACTTTGGATGGGAATTAATGGAAAGTCATTCAAATTTTAGAAATTTTAGAAATAGCTCTGCTCGCATAGCAAATAGTATGGACATGTTAAATCCGGTGGCGCTGGCACACATGCAAGCAGGTACTAAATTTAGTATACACATGGTATATGGCAGAGATTGGCTACCTGTGAAATGTGAGTTGCTTTTTGTTGGCACTTCAGGCATTCCTTCATACTTTGGGCCATCATGTCCTGAGGGGCTAGTCTGATAGAGGGCAGGCTCCAGGAGAACAGAGATCTCTATTTCATTTGCTTTTCGAACCTCCAGCTCCTAGAACAATGCCTGGCACATTGAAGGTGTTCCAAAGACATACGTTAAATCGAAAAAAAAAATAGCCTAGAAAGTTCACACCAGACCCTTGTTCCCAGGAGAACTAGCAGCAGGTCCCATATGGCAATAGTAACCCAGCAGGAAAGCAGCATAAATGTTTGGGTTAGGAGCAGCTTACTTCTTGGCAGGAGCCCATGCCAATGTGAGACATCTCTACACTTATCCCCAATGGACCTTTTCCATCCTTTGTGGAACAAGGAAGGAATTAATACATAGAATTTGGCCAACTCTTTAACCACACAAAGCAGAAAACTCCATTTCGACATCCTACTAGATAAAAAAGAGATGTTGGCAACTATAAAAAAATGTCTATTAGGTGCTTTTACACCCAGTGCCTGATAGCTACCTAGCAAGCATCTGAAATCCCGCTCATCATGTATACTTCTAAGGCGAGGCGAAGGAGGCTCAGAGAGAGTGGGCAGCACAGTCCAGGTTACTCTGTTGTTAGATGTGGGCCCAGAGCTGCTGAGGCTTAAATCTGAGCCCTTAAATCTATGGTCTGTGGCTTGCTCTGTCCGTGGTATTTTATGATGGGTATACCTGGAATTTGGAGGCATGGAGCTTGCAAGAGATCCCTTTCCACAAAGGTTCACCTTCACATAGGTAGGAGCTGGGAGCCTTACCTCATCTTTCAGTCCCTTGGCAGTTCGCAATTCTCCTTTAAGCTTTAGCATTTTTGTGAGCTTTGTTATAAACCTGAAAAAGTCCAAGTGTTTAAGATGGAGAAAAGTATGAACGAGTCCAGCCCTTTAAGGATTTTCCCAGCTGGATGGATGCCCTCAGCTGGGGAGCTGGAAAAGTCTCCGTTAACAACACCGGCTTCTCTACCAATCTGCGTTTCCACGTGCGTTCAGACCTCTGCGAGGGAGGCAGAGCTGTAGTCTGCGTCTTTCCCAGAAAACCACCGTGTGCAGGACGAAAGAGTTTCTGAATTTGCTCCCCTAGGGAAGAAAAGGGTTTCGCTTCCTTTCTAAACTTCTGTGTATTCTGCAGGTCAGATACAGTTAAGACTTATTTAGCTTTTTTAATGATCCAGGCAGGACCATTATTTGTATGTGACCTATTTCCATACTAACTCTGGGTGGGGGCAAGATGACTCTTATCCCCATCACACAGAGGCAAGAAACTGAGACCCAGAGATGTGAAATGGCTTACCCAAGGACACACAAGCTCTCTTGCTAGTCCATGAAGCTCACCTGTTCATTTTATCACTGTGAATTTAAAATGTCCAATAACGTGACCTTTTTTTTTTAAGGCATCAACTTGCCACGGTGGGGATTATAAAGTTAGAGATCTTGTAAAGGGCTGAGAATGATCTAGATTAAAAAGCTTCCAGCGAAACTAAAGATGGCCGCACAGGCGATGGTTCGTAACTACAGGATGATGCGTTTGAGGTCATAATGCATTGACCTTCCTAAAATAATCTAATTCAATATGGGCTTAACTGTAGGGCCGAGGGGATTCCCACCAAGCACTTACCTGCAGAATGGTTCCAAGAATGAGAGGCCACCAAATACTCATTCTTTGTAATAAGCTACATCCCCCATCCCTCACATAAGCCAAGAAGAAAGAATGGTTGTGACCTGTGGAGTTTGGAATGCCTTATGGAGCTGCATTCTGATTTTCTGTGTTCTAGACCCTCTTACATCTTCATGCACAGATCTGCATCATGGGAATGATGGCATCACTCAGCCTTACCTGGTTGAGTAGGGCAAGGTTGGGCGATTTCATACTAGTTCTCCCGCCACCCCCTACCCCAATCCCAGCGGTTTAAAACTGGGAAGGATTACTTTCCACTCAGGCTTCACGCCCTTTGTGAACCCTCTGGAGCTCTGCCCCACACTCTCCTTCCTCAGCTCCTTATTGTCTTCCTCTAGTGGAACCTCTATTATCTGGTACCTGGTCTGTTGCCATGGTGGCAGACAGGGAACCTGAGGAAGTACATTCTAGTTCATAAAGAAGAAGTGGAACACTTCACTTCCGCTCACATTTCATTGGTCCAACACAAACCTCATGATCACTCCTCACTTCCTTTGTTCTCTAAAGGGAATATTAACGGACAGCATAAGTAATTTCCACACAAGGCAAGTCAAAAAAGATTAAAAGTAATTCGGCATCAAAGAGTAGTCAACAGGGCTCTGAGCTACCAAAGCGTTAAAACCTAGTTCAAAATCATGTGGATTCTGTCCCAGGGGGAGGCTCATCTCATCGAGCCCTCATCTCTGCCTCTGGAGGTGAAGGGGCTGTAGTAAGCGACCTTCATGCTCTGTCATAGCTCTCAACTTCCCTTTGCTGTTCTACCTCGACAAACATCTTTATTTGGTAAGGGCGATAAGCTCAGTCTGAGCATCACACACTAAAAATATGTCTTTGAGAATGACATTTCTCTTCAGGAATGTCCGCTGGGTCATCAGCTGATGATTCTCAAATCGAATCTTATTTAAAAGGTGACAAAAAAAACCCCACAAAAATAATTTTCTAGACTGTGATGGTTTCAAAGAATATTTCAAAGGAAAATTAGAAGGTTCCATTATTCCCATGAAATATACTGGACTGTAGCAAGGGAGGTAACTCAGAGGGAGGATAACTGACTTGTTCTGGACTGTAGCAAGTAAAAAGCAAGAGAAAACAATAACAGGGTTTTGTCCCTCAAGGAAGACACAGGATTCCTGTGAGTCATTAGCAATAACAGTGGGGGACAACTTGGAAGTGCTCACAGTTGAAAAAAGAAGGGTTGCATGATACATCTCCAAGGTACTGGACAGTAATGTTTGCCAGATGGGTAGGAGAGAAGGCATAGAGGGAGGTTCCCTGCTTCATAACTGACCATCTGGAACCGTCCATCCCAGTCTCTTAGGAGGGTGCAAGCATTTCATGTAGAAGCAAACTCACCCCAGAGGGGGTAGGATAGTAGATCCTGATTGCTGACTGCTCTTTTGGGTCTAAGACTTGGTTAATGTCGCCTTTTTTCAAGTCCCCGGCTTCCACATCTTTGTTTCTTGCATCTTTGTTGAGTTCATTGCTTCTTCAGGCCTCGTCTGGGAACTTTTTTCTTGTTTTCAAAGTCTTGCCATCTGTTTTTCAAATAGTATTTTTCTCCATGACAGCTGTGCCCAGGAAAAAAAAAATAAAGATTAATAGTCTAAATAAAAACTTAGAGTCCCATGGGGATGGACTGGTGGGCAAAGCAGTTGCCATGCAAGCCCGGTGACTGGAGTTTGTTCCCTGGGATCTGTGTTCAGAAAGAAAACAGCCGCACATAGCAGCAGGCATCTGCAATCCCAGCACTCTATGGTTATGTGAGAGGCAGAGGCAGGAGGATTGGCTGGAAGTTTCTGGGCCGGCTAGCCTGGAGTATGTTACGTGGTAGAAAGAATAGAAACCCCATTTCTACAAGTGGAAGGTGAGATCAGAACTCCCAAAAGTTGCCCTCTGACCTCCACATGCATGCATGTACACATATGTATACAAGCAATATCACACACACACACACACACACACACACACACACACACACACACACACACAAGTCAGTCTCTTTATTATGATCCCGTTCTACTACATAACAGAAACATAGCTTCAGTTGTTTCTAAGAAAGTGTCATTATTATCAGGTCAAAAACAAAGCCGGGCAGTGGTGGCGCATGCCTTTAATCTCAGCACTTGGGTGGCAGAGGCAGGCAGATCTCTAAGTTTGGTGCCAGCCTGGTCTACAAGAGCTAGTTCCAGGACAGGTTCCAAAGTACAGAGAAACCCTGTCTCGAAAAACTAAACAAAGAAAAAAATTAGATTATTTCAAAACCCTTTTAAAGTCTCTTTAGAGAGTGCTTAGATTCTCAGATCCTGAAATCATGGGTGACTTCTGGTCCATGGCCATAGGGGAGTATGTGCTGTAATATCTTTGTATTATTAATATCTATAATAATTAATACACTATACCTTCCTTTCCTACAGGCTTCGAGTTGGTCCTCTCACTCTTGGGGGTCACCCTCTATGGCTTTGATGTATATGCACACAGATGTTTCCCCCTCATCTCCTCTCACAGTTGCCCTACCCAAATCCTGTGTTTTGTTTTGCATATCTACAGAATCTAGACTCTTAGATCAAAGCGCTGAGCTTTTGTTAGAATCCATTGCTTTTTTCCCCCCACATTTGCCTTATCTTATATCTTTCGCTAGGACCCAATTGCCTGTCTTTGCCCCCATTTACTTATTCATTGTGTTTCTTAGCTCAGACGACATTGTTTAGTTTTGGGGGAGGAAGGAAAAAGGCAACAGTTGAACAAGATCAGGGAAACACAAGTTTGTATCAGGCAGACATTGAACTCTCTATGTCCTCCAGGCTGGCCATGAATGTCAGTCACCCAGCCTCTTCCTCCTGAGTGCTCGCGTTACAGGCTTGCACGACTATGTAGGCTCATTCTTTTTGACTTGGATAGAATAGACCAAAGACTTACTTTCCCCCAATTAGAATGTATTTCTGGATTTCTGGAGAAAGGGGTGTTATTTAATGGGAAGTGAAAACCAACTTCAGAGAGTAATCAGAATTAGATTTACTTAAACTCAGATCAAAGTATTCACACTGGGTTTTAGATTTTTCTCCAAAGCTTTCTTGATTTTTCAAAATATGTGACCACCATAAATGGACCGAGATACCCCCTTGTGCAATTTTTTTTTCTGCCCAGTATGGAAGCAGCCATGGTATGTGGAGCCTAGCACGAAGAGAACTCTTTTTTTCGATCTAAACCCAGTTCTAAAGGAGGAAATCCTTGGTCTTGGAAGGCATGTCTGCTGGGGAGAGGGCGGAGCCACAGGATTGGATGATGCAGGAGTTGGTTCTGCTAGGGTGTGAGGTCCTGCAGTGTAATATATGGAAGAGGACTCTGATGCCAAAGCCCAGTGGCTCCCTCCAGAAAGAGACTTTGGGCTGGAGGAAGAAAGCAGGGGTCTGAAGCAAAAGACAAGCGCCCCCAGGCACTGTCAAACTCTTTGTCCTGGGTTAAACCTCCCTGGGGCTGCTTCTTTTGGTACCTTTCACAGGTGTTGCTAACTGCCTGGTCCAACACCCCCTCTTTTATCTTCCTTAGTAATACCGAACCCCAACATTATTAAATGTCTGTGTACTAGAACCTCATCTCCCGCCCGTCCTCTGGATAGGTACCACTCTGTGTTTAAGTTTTGGCTAACAAAAGGTGAGCCTGATGGGGACATCCAGGACATCTTGGAGAGGCAGTGCACAGCTCGGATTCTTCTCTCCTTCCCAGTCGCCTGTGCTGCTGACTCAATGCCTGCCTCTCCATCAGCCGTTAAGAACACAAAGAGTTGCTCACGGACACAGATGGAGCCCAGGTCCCTAATGATGTGAAATGACCATGTAAGCCCTGACAGTGAGAAGTTTGTCTTTTTTTTTTTTTAACTTTCTTCTTATTCTTTCTGTGTGTCTTTCACAATGTACATCTTGATCCTGTTTGCTCATCTCCCCAACCCTTCACATCTGCCCTCTGACCCTGAAAACCAGCCCTCCCCACAAATGAAACAAAGTTTAAGAGGAAAAATTAAAAATCCCATCATGGAAGCTGCAGTGTGACGCAGCGAGTCACATCATAGACTCTTTTGCCCATGTGTCTTTACTTGTGAGTGTTCGTTGCAAAGAGTCATTGGTCTGGTTCGAGGCCT